ACTCAAGCCGCAGAAACCCGAGTCGTTCGACCCAAGTCAACGCGACGCGAACGTGCGGACGTGGCTCTTCATGATCAACAACTACTTTGTCGCGAGCGGGGTGCAAGAGGCGGACGCGCAGCAGCGGATCGAGTACTCCGTCATGCTGCTGAGGGGCCCGGCCTTGGAGTGGTGGCGCCAACTCACGCAAACTGCTGTAAGAAGGGCTCATTTGGACGGGCATCAACAGGGCGAGGGGCATGCAGCTGCAACTTCGAGCTTAGGAAGTTTAGCTTTGGGTGTTACCACGGTTCCGACGACATGGGAAGGATTTGAAGCGGCGCTGAAAAGTAGGTTCGACTTGGTGAATGCCTCCGAAGCTGCTAGGAAGCGTCTGCGTTATTTCCGGCAGATAGGAAACGTCCAGGAGTACACACGACGGTTTTTCAGCATCTGCAACGAGATAGACGATATCACGGAAGCAGAGATGCGCGATCGCTACCTCGAAGGGTTGAAGCCGGACATAGCGGAGATCATAGCGATTCACGGATTGTCCACCTTCGAGTCGGTAGTTGCAGCAGCAGAACGCGTCGACGCAGTACGAAGCCGACGGGGTCGTGACGATCGCGATAGGGGATACAAACCGATCACCGACATTCGATCGAGGGACGGACCATCGCCCATGGAGATTGGTGCAGTTAACAGTGACGGCTCACAGAAAACGGGATTTAGGGGGAACTGTCACTACTGCAAAAAGCCGGGACACATGAAGTGGGACTGCCCACAGCTTAAGGAGCGGTAGCAGGGAAACGGAAACCGCCAGTAGATAGCGGGTCGCTAGCTGGTGTGGACGCTTCCGAACCCGCCACGTCTACCAACGTAGAGGAGACGGTCTTAGAGCAGTCATCTACGCCGAACGAGGTAGACACTGTTGATCGTCCAGTCGTGCTTCTAGGGAAGCTTCGCGGTGTTCCAGTCAAGATTCTCATCAATAGCGGAGCTAGCCACTCGTTCGTTTCGTCTTCATTAGTTAGTCGTCTCCATCTCGAGGCAGATTCGGCAGTCAACTTCAAGGACGCTCGCATGGTAGATGGGACGCCACTTCACATAGGACCAGTCATTCGCAAGTTGCGCGTAGTGCTAGGACCAATCACGGTTAGGCGTGATTTCGATTCTGCGACGCTGGTCGGTTACGACTTCATCTTCGGTAGGGATTGGCTACGGACGGTTAACACTCAGTTCGATTGGGCTCAGGGAAGCTGCAGCGTCAAGGTAGATGGCGAGTTCCGGGAGCTGCCATAGTGGAGCGATGCGGCCACATCCTCCACAGCTATCATTAATGCTGTTCGTGTGCGACAGTTAGTGAAGCGTGCGGCGCGGATCTTTGCGGTTTTCCTCGAGGAGGTGGAAGCTGAGGAGGGGAAATGAGAGAGTGCAGCAGTTGGTGAGAAGGCGACTCTTCCTGCTGAGGTGAGTGCACTGTTAGCAGAGTTTGCTGACGTCTTCCCCGACGAGTTGCCCCCAGGGTTGCCTCCCAGCCGAGCAGTAGACCATCGGATAGAGTTGGAGCCGGGAAGCAGACCAGTAGCGAAGCCGCAGTGGAGGTTGAGTCCAGCGGAGACAGAGGAGATGACGCAGCAGGTTAGGCACTTTCTCGCGCAGGGTTTCATACAGCCATCTAGATCGCCTTGGGCAGCACCGATCCTTTTCGCGCCTAAGAAAGACGGGGGGTTACGGATGTGCATAGATTACCGCGCACTGAACGCCGCCACCGTCAAGAATAGATTCCCAGTTCCGAGAGTAGAAGATCTTCTCGATGCAGTGCAGGGCGCTAGAGTCTTCTCAAAGATCGACCTCCGTTCGGGTTACCACCAGATTCGCGTAGTTCCAGAGGACCAGCAGAAGACGGCGTTTCGTACGAAGCAGGGGTTGTACGAGTTTAGGGTTCTTCCGTTCGGTTTGACCAACGCCCCAGCGACGTTTCAGACGCTCATGAACACTGTCCTCTCCGAGTTCCTAGGTTCGTTCGTCGTGGTTTACCTAGACGACATCCTGATCTTCTCAAAGACGAAAGAGGAGCACGTGCAGCACTTGCAGAAGATCTTCGAGGTCTTACGGAGGGAGCAGTTGTACGCGAAGCAGCCGAAGTGCGAGTTCTTCCTTCCAGAGGTCGAGTTTCTAGGCCATGTCATATCCGCTAGTGGCATTAGGACCGACCCGAAGAAGATCGCAGCAGTACAGAATTGGGTAGCACCGACCTCAGTCAAGGAGTTGCAGAGCTTTCTCGGATTCGCCAATTACTACCGTCGTTTCGTTCAGGGTTACGCATCGATCGCTAGTTCACTCACCGACCTACTTCGGAAGGGCGTAGATTTCGATTGGGGTCCAGCGCAGCAGCAGGCGTTCGAGCAGATGAAGCAGTCGCTCACGTCTTCACCGACACTGTCGTACCCTGATCCCACTCGCCCGTACGTTGTAGTGACCGACGCTTCAGATCGGGCCATAGGAGCAGTGCTTCTTCAGGACCAGGGACGCAGGTTGCAGCTGATCGCGTACGAGTCGCGTAAGCTTAGGGGAGCGGAGTTGAACTATCCCATACACGACAAGGAGGCGCTCGCGATCATCCATGCGTATAAGGTGTGGAGGTGCTACCTAGAGGGGGCAGATAGTGTTATACGTACGGACCATTGCTCGCCTCGTTTCCTCAAGTCGCAGCCGCAGCTGAGTCGTCGCCAGGCTAGATGGATGGAGTTCATGGAGGGGAGTTTCCACTACAGGATAGAGTACAAGCCAGGCGTTCGCAACCCAGCAGATCCACTCACTCGCCCTAGTTGCCAGCTCGCTAGCCTCACAGTCACTGCCGGCCATCCACTTCTCACAGCAATCTTCGAGCACGGTTACACAGTAGATCCCGACTTCACACCACAGCCGCCCGCAGGAGCAGAGGTGCAGGGTAGTGTCTACATACGGAAGGGTACCACACGGATTTGGGTTCCTGCCTACCGCCCTCTTCGACAGCTCCTTCTTTCCGAGGCACACGACGTAGTTAGTGCAGGTCACTTCGGAGCAGATAAGACGGCTAAGACGCTTAGTCGCACGTACTTCTGGCCAGGGCTTGCAGCAGACGTAGAGGATTACATTCGCTCGTGCGACACGTGTCAGCGTACGAAGTCCTCTCGCCAGCGCAAGGCAGGACTTTTGCAGCCGATTCCACCACCCGACCGCCCTTGGCAGGTAGTTACGATGGACTTCATCATGGCTTTACCGCGCACAGTTAGGGGTCACGACGCCATCTTCGTGGTAGTGGATAAGTTTTCTCGAGCAGCGCACTTCATCCCCACGCACAGCAAGGTCACAGCAGAGGAAGCCGCGACGCTGTTCGTAGATAACGTAGTCCGACTGCACGGGGTTCCAGATTCCATCATCTCAGACCGCGACCCTCGTTTCACTTCAAAGTTCTGGAAGCAGCTTTTCGCACTGTTTGGGACTCGCTTAGCCATGTCGTCTGCGTACCATCCAGAGACAGGCGGACAGACCGAGCGTGTGAACCAGACCTTGGAGCAGATTCTTCGCAGCATCAAGATGCACGACGCAGCCGCATGGGACAAGAAGCTGAGCATGGCCGAGTTCGCCTACAACAACACGCACCACTCGTCCACGGGCATGTCACCGTTCTTCGCACTGTACGGTCAACACCCCAATGTCCCCACTCGTGTCGATCTCACACCCACAGTCCCTCGTGCGGACAACTTCCACCAGCATCTCACCTTCATTCATGATCACGTGAGGAAGCACCTTGAGCTCGCAAATGCACGCATGGCACGCACCACCAACCGCAGTCGTCGTGAGGTGTCGTTTTCAGTCGGCGACCGTGTTCTTTTGGATAGCCGCAACCTCCGACTGCCACAGGACAGCAAGCTCCGCCCACGCTTCATTGGTCCATTTGTTATTGAGCGCGCACTTGGTCCAGTCGCATACCGCCTTCGCCTTCCCGCTCATTTCCGCATGCACCCGTCATTCCACGTGTCTCTTCTTCGGCCTTACACCGATCCTAACACCGCATTCTCGGGCCGTGATCGCAATCCACTGCCGGTAGCTGTTGACACCGACGAGCCCGACTACCAGATCCAGCGCATCCTCAGGCACCGACGCCGTCTCCAGGGGGGTGTCTCCTTCATCGACTTCTTGGTTCGTTGGCGTGGTTACGACGCAGCAGACGACAGCTCGGTTCCTTCGTCCTCACTGTCTCATGACAACGCTTACCTCCAAGCGTACCTTCAGTCTGCAGGCGCCGCGGACGTCGCCTCCTTGGGAGGGGGGTAGTGTTACAGGGGGTTTTACTGTTCATCCAGAACAGTACTTCCCAACCTTATCATCATCCTATCTTTCCAGATTTCCTAGTGCCACGTGGCACTCTACTCTTCTTGCCTTACAATTCTAGTCCCACGAAGTACTTTGCGACATTCGACTTTGCATGCTATATCAACATTGCTTGTATTCCCCAATATCAACCAATTCTCATTCAACTCAATTACTCAGTTACCTCTTCGCCTATTTCGCCAACACTCTCTTTCGCCAAAGTCTTCCGCCGCGTTTATCCTCAATTTAGTCAACCCCGCTATTCCTGAGCGGATTTAGGCCAAGGGGCCTAACCGTTTTTTCTGTAACACGTTTATTACTTTTACTGTATTGTCTTAAATACTCGACGAAATGATATTATAGATAAATAAAATTATGGCATAGAATACGTGGTTCAGTAACATATAATGAAGTTTTGTAGCTGAAAGTATCATAAAAAGAGAAACAAACACGTCAAGTTTAATTGTTATAGTTATCTGTTATATGCAAATCTCATGTATAAACACAGTAGGTACCTATCTAGTGACACCGCCTCTGCACTGACATTTGTTGCTAGACTGATACTGCTAATATGGGGTAGCTTGCATTCAGATTTGCCACCCTGTTGGGCGACTGTACGATGCACTCAGGGGCTTCGCTATTAGCACACTCATTATGTCGTAATGTCGCGCTCGGAAGTGCGTCCCTGACGCGACATCTCCTTTTCCCCGGCAAACACTCTCCTGTCATTCCTTCCTTCCCGCGCCTCGCATCTCTCTTCCCGACCGACGCCGTCGCTCTCGTCGCGTCTCCTCGTCCTGCGTCCTTTCCGTTCCCGTTCCTCCTCCCTTCCGTCTGCTCCCATTGCTCTCTTTCTCCCTGCCTTCTCCCCCCCCCCCCCTTCCCCTTTTTCCTCCGTAATCCCCATCTCCCACGCGTGAGGGTGGCGAGATGGCGCTTGCCGGATTCGCCTTTGAGGTTTTCGGCAAGGTAGGGGGAATGCGGATAGTATCACCAAATTCCTCGCTTTTGTTTGAATCCGTTTCTGTGTAGAACGACGCGTGTGCCTGTTTCGAGGCGCCTCAAAGATTCCAGGTTCCATCTTTTCGTTTAGATCCGTTGCTGTGTTGAACGGCGCGTGTGCCTGTCACGCCTTGGCCAACACTAATATTCGTGCAGGCGTGCACATTATTAGCTCCTCGATTTCATCACTTTCTGTCAGGTGCAAGGGGTGTCGTGTCGTTCCGGCATTACGCGAGTCACCAGGCGACTTCCCTGGGGCTGACACTAAGCGATAATTCCGGATGAATCTCAATGTGTTCCTGGCAGGTGCAAGGGGTGTCGTTCCGGTATTACACGAGCCATAAAGCAACTTCCCTGGGGCTGGTGGGGTGGTGCCGAAACACAGACATGGGGACAGTGGAGGGCGAGATTCAGGGGCGCAGGGAGAACGTGCAGGAGATGTGAGTATAAGGGAGGGGGGAACGGGGGACAAGGAGAACGTGCAGGAGATGTGAGTATAAGGGAGGGGGGAACGGGGGACAAGGAGAACGTGCTGGAGGTGTGCGTATAGCGAGTGGGGGAAGGGGGGCAAAGAAAAACGTGCGGGAGGTGTGAGTATAACGAAGCGGTATATATGAGTAGTGAAGCAGCAGATGTCATTATAGTGAAGCCACAGCAATGGTAGTAAGTTGAGGTCGTTCATTGTGGTGCTTGCATTCTCTCTCGCATCTGCCAATTTGTCAACACAATTTCCCTCCTTTCTCCCCTCCTCTCCATACTCCCCTCCTCCCACCTCCTCCCACACACCACCTCTTTACTACCCCATCCATCTGTATTTTTCTGAATAAAATTGCTGTGTTGAGCTGCAGGAAGGTATGGCTATGCACCACCGGCTCTCCATACTCCCGCATTGAGCGCTGCGCTTTTAAGAATGAGGTTGATGACCTTAAAGAGTTGTCTTTCAAGTCATTCCGGGTACGCCACTGAGAATATCGACAACCCTTAGATACTGTGTAAGATTTTGTAGTAGAGAGGATGTGTTGAGGACTGTAATGAAGTAGACTGTACTGGAGGAATGTTATGTATGGGGACTTTGTAGAGTATGTAATATGTTTACGCCCCTTGGTTACCATACTAGTAGTGAGTGAGCAAGCCCTTGATGAGAACAAGCAAGGCACTTTTACACCAAGAATTCGCTTTTGAGTCGACTCAAAAACAAGGAAGGCACTTTTACACCAAGAATTTCCTCGCCTTATCATAAACGTTTTCATGTAAAAAAGGACAGCTATGGTTACCACAAGAACCGTTGCAAGCCCTCATGCCCCTCCCACTTGAACGGGCGGAATAAAAATAGTCCCATGGTGGCAACATCTACAGCAGCAAAGCCACTGACGACCAGAGCACAGGAGATCCTTTTTTCCAGGCGGTTGCGAGGCAGGGGGAGGTGCAGCAGCAGGAGCAGGAAGGGAGGGATGAAGTAGCGGAATTCAAGGAGTGGAGATGGTACGAGCACTGCTGCTGTTGCGGCTGAGAAAAATAAGAGCCCTAGAGGGGTCATGGCACGGCCTGGGGGGGGGGGGGGGGGAGAGTGGGGATAAGGGGGGGCAGAAGAGAGGGATGAAGAAATGGGAGGAGAGGAGAGGAGAGTTGATCATGGAAGAAGTGATCACGTGGCAGGTGTGAGAAAGAAGAGGCCGAGAGGGCACGTGTAGTTAGGTTATTTTTGAGACGTCTCAAAAATAACCTAACTACAAGAGGAGAGTTGAGTTGATCATGAAAGAAGTGATCATGTAGCAGGTGTGAGAAAGGAGAGGCCGAGAGGGGTCATGGCACGGCATGGCGGGAAGGGTGAGTGGCAGGGGTAAATGCAGCAGCAGGAGCAGGAAGGAGGGATGAAGTAGGATTTCGAGGAGTGGGGACGGGACAAGAACTGCTGCTGTTGCAGCTGCGAAAAAAAATGGCCGAGAGGGGTCATGGTACGGCCTGGGGGGTTGTGAATGGAATGCAAGAGAGGGATGAGGAATGGGAGAAGAGACAGAAGAGGTAGAAGTGTTTATGTGGCAGGTGTGACACTCCCCTGAAGCACCACAAAACTCGGCTCACGTGGCAGGCGGGAGACAGAAGAGGTCAAGAGGGGTTATGGCAAAGCGTGGGAGAGAGTGGGTGGGCCTGGTTTTGAATCGACTCAAAAGCAGAGAGTGGGTGGGCCTGGGACTGAAGAGAGGGATGATATGACGGAACATGGGATGGGAGAGGAGTTCATGTGGCACGTGTGAAGCAAAGAGGTTGAGAGCGGTTGCAATGCTGCCTGGGAGAGTAGAGAGGCCGTACACGTGCTGTGAGTGAGTCGATATGTACTTAATGCGTGGGTGAGGGCGAGCAGAGCGAGGGCGGGCGTAGAGGGGCAGCAGCAGGAAGCGCTGTGGCGGGCTGTGGGAAGGGTTGATGGGCCGTGCGGCGTGCTGTGAATACGTACATAGTGAGTGGTAGAGGGCGAGGACAGCGAGGGCGGGCGTAGAGGGGCAGCAGCAGGAAGCGCCGTGATGGGCTGTGGGGCGGATTGATGAGCCGGCGTGAGATGTAGAAGGGGTAGTGGCGGGGTGACTTTTGAGTCGACTCAAGAGAAAAACGTACGTAGGGTGTGGTAGACGGTGAGTAGTGAGATGGCGTAGAGTGGCAGCAGCAGGAAGCGCCGTGGCGGGCTGTGGGAAGGGTTGATGAGCCGGCGCCAGATGTAGAAGGGGTAGTGACGGTTGTCCGCTAGTAAGTAGGGGTGGGCGAGGCTGGGAGGAAGGAACGGGTGTCGGGGAAAGAGAGAAGGGAGAAGCATGGGAAGGGTGGATGAATGGATGCCAAATGTGAATTGGAAGGGAGGGGAAGTGGTGGGTGATTGTTAGCAGTGACTTTTGAGTCGACTCAAAAAATGTCGTGTGCCAGAGTAACGAGGTGACTTTTGAGTCGACTCAGAAGGGAGGGGACGTGGTGGGTGATTGTTAGCAGTGTTGACGAGGCTGGGACGGAGAAAAGCCACCACGAGGGGGAGAAAAGCAGTGTAGCATTTTGAAGGAAAGGGAGGGCACAGAGAAAAAGGCAAGTGTTTTAAGACGTCTCAAAAGGGCACAGAGACTTCTTCATACACGTGAAAGGGCACAGAGAAAAAGCCAAGACGAGCTGGTGTCAGAGCTGACGTTTGAGTCGACTCAAAAGGGAGAAAAGCAGTGTAATATTTTGAAGGAATGGGCGCAGAGAAAAAGGCAAGACGAGCTGGTGTGAGAAGGTAGAGGTGGGCGTTAGAGTTGCTTTGAGAGAGCCTTTGAGGAGAGCGTTAGGTGGACGTCTCAAAAGGGCACAGAGACCTCAACAGTTGCTTTGAGAGAGCCTTTGAGGCATTGAGCCATGGCCGTTAGAGTTGCTTTCAGAGAGCCGGGGATGGTGCAAATGAGAGAGGAGGACAGCGATAGCTGCAGTGATTGATTGTCAGACAAAACAGAGCGGAAAGGAGAAGGAGGAAATGGGTGGACGCCAGTTGGAAAAAGCAAGATGGGAAGAAGAGGAGGAGGAGAAGGATGGGGCGAGCATGATACCTGAAGTGTTTGATGATCGGAAACAGCAGGGAGCAGAGGAGGAGAGAGAGGACGAGGCAGCAACCGGGTGACGATCAGAGAGAGCGAGAGGTGGTGGAGAGGGGAGGAGATGGAGAAAAGGATAGGGCGACGATAATACCTGAAGCGTTTGATGATCGGAAACAGCAGGGAGCAGAGGAGGAGAGAGAGGACGAGGCAGCAACCGGGTGACGATCAGAGAGAGCGAGAGGTGGTGGAGAGGGGAGGAGATGGAGAAAAGGATGGGGCGACGATAATACCTGAAGCGTTTGATGATCGGAAACAGCAGGGAGCAGAGGAGGAGAGAGAGGACGAGGCAGCAACCGGGTGACGATCAGAGAGAGCGAGAGGTGGTGGAGAGGGGAGGAGATGGAGAAAAGGATAGGGCGACGATAATACCTGAAGCGTTTGATGATCGGAAACAGCAGGGAGCAGAGGAGGAGAGAGAGGACGAGGCAGCAACCGGGTGACGATCAGAGAGAGCGAGAGGTGGTGGAGAGGGGAGGAGATGGAGAAAAGGATAGGGCGACGATAATACCTGAAGCGTTTGATGATCGGAAACAGCAGGGAGCAGAGGAGGAGAGAGAGGACGAGGCAGCAACCGGGTGACGATCAGAGAGAGCGAGAGGTGTGGAGAGGGGAGGAGATGGAGAAAAGGATAGGGCGACGATAATACCTGAAGTGTTTGGCGGTCAGAAAGAGCAGAGCGGAGGCGAGGGAGCGACCGGGGGATGATCGAAGAGAGCGAGAGGTGGTGGAGAGGAGGGGGAGAAGGTGGGGAAGAGGGGGGGAGACGGAGAAAAGGATAGGGCGACCAGAATACCTGAAGTGTTTGATGGTCAGAAAGAGCAGGGCGGAGGCGAGGAGAGAGAGGACGAGGCAGCGACCGGGGGATGATCGGAGAGAGTGAGAGGTGGTGGAGAGGAGCGGGAGGAGGGAGGAGGGGGCGAGGAGGAGGGGGGAGAGGGAGAGGGCGGAGAAGGCTGCGAAGTAGAGTGGTTGCATGAGATGGGGGGAGAGGCGGTGCTCTGTGCGCGCTCCTGGTGTGGGGTGGAGTGCAGTGGGGTGGGGTGCATGTGGGAGGGGAACGTAGGGACGTGATATTATGGGAGTAGAGAAGGCTGCAAAGTAGAGTGGCTGCATGAGATGGGGGGAGAGACGGTGCTCTGTGCGCGCTCCTGGATGGGGTGGGGTGGGGTGGCACGAGGTGGGGTGGGGTACAAAGGGGAGGGGAACATGTTGTTATGGAGTGGAGAAGGCTGTGAAGTAGAGTGGTTGCATGAGATGGGGGGAGAGTTGGTGCTCTGTGCGCGCTCCTGGTGTGGGGTGGGTTGGGTTGGGGTGGGGTGGGGTGGGGTGGGGTGTGTTGACACGAACAAAGACAAAGAATGCCCGCAAGCACCACGAACCAACAATGGTGTGCTTTGAGTCAAATCGATCGAAACACACTCACAGCAACATCAGATGCTGCTACCAAACAAAAGCTCCCACCACTCACCGACGACAATTCCCCCGTTGACACGCACAAAGACAAAGAACGCCGCCAACACCGCCAGCAGCGGGAAGAAGTTTCTGAGAAAGTTCCCCCGCACGGCCCACGCTCGGTGCATCAGCAGCAGCAGCGCCCTAGGCACTTCCTCCCCTCTCACAGCCGCCCCAGTCGCCCACGAAGGATCCTGGAAGCTTCTGTCTTGTGAATTGGTGACAAGGCCGTTCCGTAAGGTCCCATGTTCATCGGCTCGGCCCCTGCTGTCCTCGTCTCTTTCCGCCTTGTCCTTTTCCGCATCCTGTTTTTCCACCTCGTCTTTTAGGGTCCCCTTGGGAGTTTTCAGAGAAGTTGTCAGCTTTGGAGTCCCTTGGGGTTGGGGGTTCAGAAGCACTGGCACGGCCAGGAAGTGCGAGGCGGAGAGGCAGAGAGCGAGCAGCGCCCACACGGCGTTGGTCTGACGGATGATGATGCTGCCTGCTGCTAGCTGCCAGGGGGGGGAGGATAGGGGAAGGGGGGGGGGAAGAGTGGGGGGTGGAGTAGGGCGGAGAGGGGCAGTGAGGGAAATGGGAAGGGGCTAAGCAGAGGTAGAGAGGGAGCAGGGCCCACACGGCGTTGGTCTGGTGGATGATGATGCTGCCTGCTGCTAGCTACACGGGGGGGGAGTGGAGAGCGGAGGAGGGGGAGGGTGGTAGGGGAGATCGGGGGGGTTTGGGGAGAGGCGGAGAGGCAAAGGGCGAGCAGAAGAACTTTGCCGTTTGCGGGAGAGACACTTCGCTGGTCTGGCGGATGATGATGCTGCTTGCTGCTAGCTGCCAGGGGGGAGGGAAAACGCGGGGGAAGAGGGGCGATAAGGGGATGGGGGAAGTAGGTGATGAGGAGAGTGGGCAGAGCAGGGCCCACACGGCGTTGGTCTGGCGGATGATGATGCTGCCTGCTGCTAGCTGTGCGGTGAGGAGGGAAATAGCGGGGAACGGGGAGGAATGCGGGATAGTTTCGAGCAAAAGCTCTCACCCAGAGGCTGCTGAAACCGGGAAGAGCAGAGCGCTCACCAACGCGGCACGGTAGTGCTGCCTCTTGTACACACGTCGAATCATAGCCAGCAGCCCAGCTCAGATGAAGGCACATGAGTGTGGGTCGTAGAGAGGAGTGGAACATTCAGTAAAACAGCAGAGCCACATCCTTGCGTGTGAGCAAAACCCAGCAGAGCGCTCACCAGTGCGGCACGGTAGTGCTGCCTCTTGTACACGCATCGCATCATACCCAGCACCGCTACAGACGAAGCCACGTCCGTGTACTATAGGAACCCGAAGAACCAGTGCAGGGGGAACAGGACAAACATCGCCGCCCTCCACGTGCAGTCCTCGTCGACCTCGTCCCAAGGCGCGTGCACGGGGGGGCGGCTTTTGGTGTCAGCTTGCGCGTCGTTTCCAGCTTCGTCTTGCGTTTCATCTCTGGTGTCATCTTGCGTTTCGTCTCTGGTGTCATATCGGGTTTCGTATCTGTGGAGCAAGGCAGCGACACCTCGAGGTCGAGAATGGGGCTTGCTGCCTGCCTGGGGGAAAAGATTTGAGAGGAGGAGCAGAAGAAAGGAGAGAAGGAGGGGATGGAAAGATGGGAACAAAGAGGCAAACGCATGAGTGCGTTGAAGGAGGGTAAAGTTGGAGAAAGGAGGGGTGGACAGGAGGGAGTGTGTGATCCTACTCAGAACAATACCTTCTTTGAACGAGCTGCAACTACTGTTGCACCAGCAGCATCAGAAGCACCAGCAGCACTGGCAGCAGCAGCAGCAGCAGCAGCAGCACGGGCAGTGGAGTAGAAGAGAGGGAAGGAGAGGACGAGGAGGAGGAGGTTGAGGGATCGCAGCGTCACAGGGGAGCATAGGGATGCGAACGACACGCCTGCTGCTGACGTGGCGTCTGACCTGGCGTCTGACGTGGACGCGAGGTGGGCAGCGGTTTTAACAATGCCTAGAAGTTGCAGGAAGGCGTATTGCGCGCCCACGAATACAAGAGCTAGGTAGTAACTGAGGGAAGGGGGGGGTGGGGTAGGGGTGGGGAAGGGGAGAGAGTAGATGGTGGGGGAAAGGGGGAATAAGAGTGGGCGTGTAACTGAGAAGAAGGTAGAGAAAGAAGGAGTTGAGAGGGGCGTGCGACCAGGCGAGTGACTGAGAAGAAAGGGAATGGAGGATAATCAAAGAAATTGAGGTAAAATCAAAAGGGGTGAGGAGAGAAAGAGAGTGAAGTGAGGAGATGGGAGGGGAGAAATGAGGAGGCGAGTGAGGAGATTTTTAAGTCTGACTAAAAAATAGGCAGATGAGGAGAAGGGAGAGGATGCGGGGGGTAACAGAGACAGTATTAACCTACAGGTTGCCCTGAAAAGGAGGGCCACAAAAGGCAGTGCAGGGAGCAGGGGCACAGGGAGAGACGAAGAAAAATGGTTGCCCTGACTTGCGTTGACCTGTGTTGACTTACAGGCCAGGAAGCGTGGTGATGAGCGGATGCCACGTCAGCAGGTCCCCTCGGCAGTACTGCTGAGTCTGCGGCACGTGGAAAATCTCGTCCTGAAATTCAGGAAGGGAGAGGAGGAGATGGGTTACGGGTACATAAAACAATGCATGGCATTCTTTATGAACCCACACCGTTTGAGGCACGGTGTGAGATGGGTTCATAAACACGGCATTCTCGTCTCACACCGTGTTTATGAACCCATGCTGGTCGCGACGCGTTAACCAACGAGTGTAATTTTGGGTCGACTCAAAACTCGACTCATTTGAGCTGCCAAAAAATATGTGTCGCACCATCATGAGTCACAAACATGTAAGTTTGAGGCACCATCATGTTCCGAACATGATGGTCCAGGAGGCGTGATAGCAAACGAGTCTAGACTATTGATCGACAATTCTCGCGTTGTACGACAATAATATAATATCAAACCATGTACGGTTACGGAACATGGTGATTAACGAGGCGCCACAAAATTTGGCTCTTCCATGTGACGTCATATTGGCTATTATCATAACCGATGTGACATCGGGTATTAGTCTCGCACCATATATGGATGGGGAACATGGTGATTAACGAGGCACGCCACGACCGCGCCGCTCACAAGGAGCGCTTCCGTCACGCGCCGCCGCACCCATTTTAAGTCCACACGACCTGCCGCCATGCTGACGTGTCACAGCTGCTTCGACGGCGCCGCGAAGAATAACGCGTGTCAGCGACTCGCAGGAAGCATCGTATGACTGGACGAAGTTAAGATCCGAGAAGAAAAGCTGCAGTAGCAGCAGCGGCGGCACTGAAAGGAAGAGCAGCTAAGTGGATCGAATTCGTCCCGCGGCCAGCAAACTTGGCAAGCTAGCTGCTTCTGGCAGCAGCAGGCGCGCTCGGGGACACTCAGAACAGCAGTCAGGTCAGGACTCAGGAGCTGATTTTTGTGCGGTTTGGTGCGATTTGATGATCATTCGCAAGGGTGGCAGAAATTGATTAATCCACCTTGTGGGAGTTTTGGCGCGGAGTGCACACCGTAAGAAACAACTCGATTGCGTCTGGAAATTCTGAAGTTAAAAGACAATGTAGAGAATATAATGTGACCCAAGGAGAAGATCATGAACTTACTTTGTTTCGTTGGCCAAAAACCAAATGCGAGTGCAGGAGCCATATTCGGGAGCTACAAACTTCATTGCAATCACTCATGAGTTCAAAATTCCCAGCTTTAGACTTGAACAATTCGTATGGATGGTATTGTCACTAGTGTATCGTTTTGCAAGTTTTCTATGGGTGTGGCTTCAGCTGCTGTTACAGCGGCCGATGGTGTGTATGATGCGTTGCCAGCGTCGGCAAGTATTTGTAAGGGCAACTTGAAAGATGTTACAACTGCTACTATGGCAGTGTCATAATTGTGGTGCAGAGGCAGGCAGGAGGGAGGAACTGTGGTGCTGCTGTTGCTGCTTTGCTGATTTGCTATAGCTGATGCAACGGCTACTGCTGCTACGACTTCTGGCGCAAGAAATCGAACACTGGGGCCGGAGGGAGGAACTGTGGCGGCAGCAGCACCTGCCTGCAAGCTGCAGCTGCTGCTGTTACTGCTACAGCTACAACCCCTACAGCTGCAGCTACGACTGCTGGCGCAAGAAATCGAACGCAGGGGCTGGAGGGAGGAACTGGGGAGGTGGCACGGCGAACGGGTTGATTGGCGGCACCGCTGCTACCACGGCCGTGGGGGTGAATGGCAGGCTGGGGGAGGGTTGCAGCGGGGTGAAGAAGGGAGAAGAATGGGTCGAAAGTGGTGAAGAGGGGTGTAGAAGACATAGGGCACGGGTAAGGTGTTGATTGGCGGCACTGCTGCTACACCGGCCGTGGGGTTGATTGGCAAAGTGGGGTGGGGAGGGGGATGTGGAGGGGTGAAGAGCGGTACAGAGGGGTACGGAGAAGTATGAGAGAAACATAGGGCATGTGGAGGGAGGGGTGAAAAGAGGTGTGGAGGAGTAAAGACGGGTGTTAAAGACATTGGTGGGGCGTGGATGGGTGTTAGAGAGACATAGGGCAGGAGGAATATAGGACATAGAACAGGTTGATGGCAGGCACAGCTGCGGACACAGCAGCTGCGGACACAGCAGCTGCGGACAGACCTGATCAAAAGGCCCCATACGCACCACACTCGCCCTTCAAAAGGCCTTATCCTCGTTATCCTCTCTCCCTTCAATGCCCTTATCCTCGTTATAAGCTCACCCTTCAAACGACTCAAGCAGTTCGGATTCCTAGTCCTCCCCTGCTCCCCTCAGCTGCTGCAGCACGGCCCTGTCGAACCCTCTAGAACCCTCTAGAACCCTAAACCTCGTCCTCAAACCCCACCGGAGCACAGAATGGTGAGCTGCTCTTCCCCCCTCCCACCCCCCTCACGAGGTGACTCAAGAGTCGACTCAAAAGTCATTTTCGAGCCACGAGCACAGGATGGTGAGCTGTACCACTTCCCCACTCCCACCCCCCTCATGAGGTGACTCAAGAGTCGACTCAAAAGTCATTTTCGAACCACGAGCACAGGATGGTGAGCTGTACCACTTCCCCCCTCCGACCCCCCTCATGAGGTGACTCAAGAGTCGACTCAAAAGTCATTTTCGAACCACGAGCACAGGATGGTGAGCTGTACCACTTCCCCACTCCCACCCCCCTCATGAGGTGACTCAAGAGTCGACTCAAAAGTCATTTTCGAACCACGAGTACAGGATGGTGAGCTGTACCACTTCCCCGCTCCCACCCCCCTCATGAGGTGACTCAAGAGTCGACTCAAAAGTCATTTTTTCGAACCACGAGCACAGGATGGTGAGCTGTACCACTTCCCCACTCCCACCCCCCTCACGAGGTGACTCAAGAGACGACTCAAAAGTCATTTTCGAACCACGAGCACAGGATGGTGAGCTGTACCACTTCCCCACTCCCACCCCCCTCACGAGGTGACTCAAGAGTCGACTCAAAAGTCATTTTCGAACCAGGAGCACAGGATGGTGAGCTGTACCACTTCCCCCCTCCCACCCCTCTCATGAGGTGACTCAAGAGTCGACTCAAAAGTCATTTTCGAACCACGAGCACAGGATGGTGAGCTGTACCACTTCCCCACTCCCACCCCCCTCATGAGGTGACTCAAGAGTCATTTTCGAACCACGAGCACAGGATGGTGAGCTGTACCACTTCCCCGCTCCCACCCCCCTCATGAGGTGACTCAAGAGTCGACTCAAAAGTCATTTTCGAACCACGAGCACAGGATGGTGAGCTGTACCACTTCCCCACTCCCACCCCCCTCACGAGGTGACTCAAGAGTCGACTCAAAAGTCATTTTCGAACCACGAGCACAGGATGGTGAGCTGTACCACTTCCCCACTCCCACCCCCCTCACGAGGTGACTCAAGAGTCGACTCAAAAGTCATTTTCGAACCACGAGCACAGGATGGTGAGCTGTACCACTTCCCCCCTCCCACCCCCCTCATGAGGTGACTCAAGAGTCGACTCAAAAGTCATTTTCGAACCACGAGCACAGGATGGTGAGCTGTACCACTTCCCCACTCCCACCCCCCTCATGAGGTGACTCAAGAGTCGACTCAAAAGTCATTTTTGAACCACGAGCACAGGATGGTGAGCTGTACCACTTCCCCACTCCCACCCCCCTCACGAGGTGACTCAAGAGTCGACTCAAAAGTCATTTTCGAACCACGAGCACAGGATGGTGAGCTGTACCACTTCCCCCCTCCCACCTCCCTCACAGGATTGTGAGTTCAGGATTAAGAAACCCTGGGTATCCCCTACCGTGAAGCCCTCTGCCAGTGTAATTCGATCCCATGGACCCACACTCACCCTTCAAAGGCTTCAAGCAGTTCAGACTCGTGGTCCTCTCCTGCTCCTCTCAGCTGCTGCAGCATGGCCCTGTCGAACTCTCTCTCACCTGCGGAAGGCTGTTATCCTCCCTATAAGCTCACCCTTCAAAGGCTTCGAGCAGTTCAGACTCGTAGTCCTCTCCTGCTCCTCTCAGCTGCTGCAGCACAGCTCTGTCGAACCCCCGCGAGCCATACACCTCGTCCTCAACCCACGAGCACAGGATGGTGAGCTGCTCTTCACCACACACCCCTTACTGTGACCCGTACAGCTCGTCCTCAAACCACGAGCACAGGATGGTGAGCTGCTCTGCATGCATCATACCATATCATATGCCCCACACCCACCCTTCTAAGGCCATTTTTATCCCCGTTATAAGCTCACCCTTCGAAGGCCTCTAGCAATTCGGATTCGTAGTCCTCCCCTGCTCCCCTCAGCTGTTGCAGCACTGCTCTGTCGAACCCTCTGGAGCCATACACCTCATCCTCGAACCACGAGCACAGGATGGTGAGCTGCGTGAAGTTGAGCGAGGGACACATGGACACCACCTCCTCCATGGTCTTCCGAGCTTTTTGCTTTGAGGTCTGTGTGGGGGGGACAGAGTGAGGGAAGGAGGGAGGGGAACAGTAGGAGTGGGGAAGACCAGGAGCACAGAGTGAAGTTGAGCGAGGGGCACATCGATACCACCTCCTCCATGCTCCTCGCGCCTTCTGCTTGGCCGTCTGTGTTGGGGGGGGGGGAAAGGTCTTGACTGTACTTCACGTTCTATTCTGCTGCAGGGTTTTTTTTTAGAATTCTAAAAAAAAAGGACTGTACTTCACGTACTATATCAATGAAAGGACCATTTGAGGGAGGGAGGAAAAAAGGAGGGGAGAGAGAGAGTGTCATTGCAGTGACCGGCAGTATCGCCATACAGCAAGGGTGGAGCACGCCATACAGCCACTTTCGGACACAACATTGGGCGCTTAGCAACTCACCAGCAGCACCACTGCCTGGTATGTATGCTGTAGGGCGTCCATCAGCAGGGCACGAGACCCCCCTCCCACGCTTCCTGCAGCAGTGCCCGCTCCAATGGGTGTGGTCCAAGAGCCTAGCAACTCACCAGCAGCACCACTGCCTGGTACGTATGTTGCAGGGCGTCAATCAGCTGCGCCCGCATTGATATATCATGACAGAAAGATGCACTCACTCACCTGCAGCAGCACATGTGCCCTACCACTCACCAGCAGCACCACTGCCTGGTACGTGTGTTGCAGAGCGTCAATCAGCCTCGCACTCTCATATATGCACACACTCACCAGCAGCAGCTGAAATGCTCCACCACTCACCAGCAGCACCACTGCCTGGTACGTGTGCTGCAGGGCGTCAATCAGCTGCGCCCGCGACCCTCCCCCCACGCTTCCAGCAGCAGTGCCCGCTCCGAGGCTCCCCACACTCCTGCTCATGCCCATGCTGGTTTATCCAGTGCCCCTACCACTCACCAGCAGCACCACTGCCTGGTACATGTGCTGCAGGGCGTCAATCAGCAGCGCCCGCATTGATGTATCATGACAGAAAGATGCCCTCACTCACCTGCAGCAGCACATGTGCCCTGCCACTCACCAGCAGCACCACTGCCTGGTACGTGTGCTGCAGGGCGTCTATCAGCTGCGCCCGCGACCCCCCTCCCACGCTTCCAGCAGCAGTGCCCGCTCCGAGGCTCCCCACGCTCCTGCTCATGCCCATGCCCGCTGCTGCTCCGTCCAGCCATGGGTGCACGTGCTCTGAGAGCCATGCTTCCAGTGCCTGCAACCCTTGCTCCATGGCCTCCCCGTTGGCGAGAGTGATTGGGCACCAGTGGCTGCGCAGCATGAGGCTGTTGGGAGGGGGGAGGGAAGGAGGGATGGAGGGAAGGAGGGAAGGAGGGAATGAAGGGAGCCAGGCAGGCAATGAGGCATAGGTGCACGTGGTGTGACAGCCATGCTTCGAGAGCTTGCAGCCCTTGCTCCATGGCCTCCCTGTTGGCGAGCGTGATGGGATACCAGTGGCTGCGCAGCATGAGGCTGTTGGGAGGGGTATTGCGTGGTGAGGCGGGGTGGAAGGGGTGGAAGGGGTGGAAGGGGTGGAAGGGGAGGCGTTGAGCCACGGGTGCACGTGCTCTGAGAGCCATGCTTCGAGCGCCTGCAGTCCTTGCTCCATGGCTTCTCCGTTGGCAAGCGTGATGGGACACCAGTGGTTGCGCAGCATGATGCTGTGTGAGAAGCAAGGGATGAAGGGAGGGAAGAAGGATATGAAAGAATGGAGGAAAGTGGAGAGGGAGGTTAGAGGTCAGTGCCTGCAGCCCTTGCACCATGGCTTCTCCGTTGGTGAGCGATGGGACACCAGTGGCTGCGCAGCACGAAGCGGTTGGGAGGGAAGGTTGATGATTGTTTAGGTGGTTGTGGTATTTTGCTCTAGCTGGTTGAGGGCTAAAGGTTTGGGCAAAATGTGATTGTTGGACTTGTTGCGAGCTAGAATTGATCTCGCACACACAAGCACCAACAAACCCTCACTACTCACTACAATATCTTTAGTGTTGCTAGTGAGGCACTTTGGGTTGTTGGGGATTGTTGTAGAGCGAGAGTTGGGCTTGTGAATATTGTCAAATTCGTCACTTTTAAGATCTGAACTCTCGCTAAAGCCATTCCTAGATCTAATACATGACTTCTTGAGATTTCCGCCAGGATACCCCGACGCACTCAAATCGTGATAGCGATCGGCCAAGATCTTGGTTGAAGGCATGCTTTGCCATTTTGGAGAGTTGAGACATTTCCAACGCGTATCTGCTCATATTATAAGATTACGTAAGCTACACGCAATGTTCCGTCGAAGTCGGCGGACTTAATCTCTTACTATGCTCTCTAGATTCGCACGCTTTCCATCACTGGAATCAGAGCTAGGGTTCGAATCTCATTGTGCACAATGGAATGTGCCTGTGGTCCTAAAGCCTACCCCAGTGAAGGGGGGTTTGGAGGAGCACTGGCATCGGCCTAAGGTCCTGGGAAAGGTTCACAGACAAGGATGGCCTGGGGGGTTATGGGTGCGCTCACCTGCTATGGAACAAGCCCTTTTAGTTCAGTGGTTAGCGGCTGAGTTTTCCAACAGAGGGAAGGAGGGGAGGGAAGGAGGGGAGGGAAGGAGGGGAGGGAAGGAGGGGAGGAGGAGAGGCCGAGAGGCGAGGAGGCGAGGAGGCGAGGAGGGAAAGAGGGGAGGAGGGGTTGAACCTGTTGACATGACTAAACGTTTTGTCTCCAGTCTAAGCTCACCTGTTGAACAGGCGCACGTCCAGGAAGTGCAGCACCTGCCAGAGCACAAGGCGGGTCAGCAAGGCAAGGAGCAGCAGCAGCATGCTTACCCTTTGAGCACACGTGTTGAGAGACCAATCACTCACCCGTTAAACATCCGCACGTCCAGGAAGTGCAGCACCTGGCACAGCACGTGACGGGCCAACACGGTCGGCACGTGGAGGGATGGGAGCAACTCGCTTACCTAATGAACCCCAAGGGCTACCCCGACTCACCCGTTGAAAAGCCGCACGTCCAGGAAGTGCAGCACCTGGCACAGCACGTGACGGGCCAACACGGTCGGCACGTGGAGGGATGGGAGCAACTCGCTTACCTAATGAACCCCAAGGGCTACCCCGACTCACCCGTTGAAAAGCCGCACGTCCAGGAAGTGCAGCACCTGGCACAGCACTTGACGGGCCAACACGGTCGGCACGTGGAGGGATGGGAGCAACTCGCTTACCTAATGAACCCCAAGGGCTACCCCGACTCACCCGTTGAAAAGCCGCACGTCCAAGAAGTGCAGCACCTGGCACAGCACGTGACGGGCCAACACGGTTGGCACGCATGGAAGGATGAGAGCAACACGCTTACCTGATGAACCCTAGGGGTTACAAAACAACTCACCCGTTGAAGAGGCGCACATCAAGGAAGTGCAGCACCTGCCACAGCAGGTGGCGGGCCAACACGGTCGGCACGCGGTTGGCTTGCATGCACCCCACCGCACTCCGCAACGAGACGAGCGCCGCCGCCCAGAACTCCCGCATGTGCTGCGCGTTGGCCATGGGGCTCTGATGGTGATTGAGCGGATGAGGGGATGTGGGAAGATGATGGATGGGAAGGGATGGATGGGGAGGGAGAGATTACGAACGACAGTTTTTTAATCTCCAGTCATGTTAGCATGATTGGACCCCTAACCAGTCTTCTGCTCAATCCATCCAGTTGAAAAAAAAAAAAAAAAAAAAAAAAAAAAAACAGTTTTGCTGGTTGTTACTTGCACCAGACGAACTGCACATGCACATGCATCGGGTACCTGATTGATTGACCTGATTTGACCTTACCTGTGACAGAAGGGAGACCAGGGTCTGCAGTTCAAGGTTGACAGAAACTCGGAGCTCGAGAAAGGCATCATCCAGCAGCACTGCGAGCTCCTGCTTGAACACGAGGAGATGCTGGTTGTTGCACCAGACGGACTGCACATGCACATGCATCGGTCGGGTATCCTTACCTGTGACAGGAGAGACACCAGTGTCTGCATTTCAAGGTTGACAGACGCCTGGAGCTCCAGAAAGGCATCGTCCAGCAGCACTGCGAGCTCCTGCTTGAACACGAGGAGAGAAGGCGCTAGCTAGTTGTTGCACCAGATGACATGCCTGTGGATGCATGCACCAGTCATCACCTGCGCTAGGAGCGAGACCAGCGTCTGCAGTTCGAGGTTGACTGAAGCTCGGAGCTCGAGAAAGGCATCGTCCAGCAGCACTGCGAGCTCCTGCTTGAACAAGAGGAACTCAACCGCGCCCAGCGCTGGCTGCTGCTGCGTTTGATGCTGTTGCTGCTGCCTTGATGCATCGTTGAACGAAGGGGCCTGGTGGGCAAAGCGGCAGGCGGGGGAGGGGAAACGGGGATGAGAGCTCCTGCTGCTGACGAGTCGCCTCGTTGAATGAAGGGCCCTGAGAGGGGAAACGAGGAGAAAGGGGACGTGGGGTGGGTCGGAAAGAGGAGGCGGAAAAAGGGGGGAAGTGGGACGGGGTAGAAGTTTCACAGAGCAGCCCGGGGGGCTCCAGAAAGGCATCGTCCAGCAGCACTGCGAGCTCCTGCTTGAATACCAAGAACTCAACTGCGCCGAGCGCTGGCTGCTGCTGCTGCTGATGCTGCTGATGTTGACGGGTTGCATCGTTGAATGAAGGGGCCTGGGAGGGCGAAGGGGGGGAGGGGACGTGGGGAAGGGGCAGGCGGGGGAGGGAAAAAGGGGTTAGAGACCCTGCTTGAATACCAGGAACTCAACCGCGCCCAGCGCTGGTTGCTGCTGCTGTTGATGCTGCTGCTGCTGCCGAGTTGCATCGTTGAACGAAGGTGCCTGGGAGGAGGAGAGAGGGGCACACGAAGAGGGGACACGTGGAAAGGGGGCAAGAGGAAAGATGCATTCTGTATCTCTCCAGAAGGACACCCCTGAAAAATAACCAGTATGCACCTGAAAAAACACCTGAAAACCACCTGCAAACACACCTGAACTGAAACCCACCTGAGAGACCTCGTGAACCAGTTAGACTCAGCAGCAGGCTTGGGTTGATTGGAAGCAGCAGCGCGCAGGAGCAGGAGCAGCAGCAGCAGCAGCAGGTTTATACACCACCTCGACCAGCACCATCAGATACTCACATTCAACAACCAGTAGCACTGCTCCTTCGAACACACCTGAAACATACCCGAAACGCACCTGGAACATGTTCGTAAACCAGTTGGAGCCAGCAGAAGGCTTGGGCTTATCCGCAGCAGCAGCGGCAGCAGCAGGTTTATACACCACCTCGACCAGCAGCATCAGACATGCCACATTCGACAGCCAGTAGCACTGCTCGTTCACCCATTCAACACGCCTACACACCTGAAACATACCCGAATCGAAACGCACCTGAAACATGTTTGTGAACCAGTTGGAGCCAGCCGCAGGCTTGGGTTTGTCCGCAGCAGCAGCAGCAGCAGGTTTATACACCACCTCAACCAGCAACATCAGACATGCCACATTCGACAGCCAGTAGCACTGCTCGTTCACCCTCACAGCCAGCACACCACCCGGCCCGACCCCTTCTCCCGAAATAGAAAGGGTTTCCTCTTCGGGAAGGATGGCGGCTTGCAGGTGGCGGATGGTGGAGGAGAGGAGCGCGAGGGCGGAGGGGGAGGAGGCGGGGGGGAAGGCGCCAAAGTGGAGGAGGGAGCGGTAGATGGCTGGGGCGGCCAGGGGGAGGCCTTGAGGAGAGAGGCCGATGATGTGCGTGGTGAGGAATATGAGAACGGACTCCTGGGGGAGGGAGGGAAAGAAAAGCGCGAAATGAGACATGCGCTTGAACAGCAAGGCCTTGAGGAGAGAGGCCGATGATGTGCGTGGTGAGGAATATGAGAACGGACTCCTGGGGGAGGGAGGGAGGGAAGGAGAGGGGTAGGGGATAGTTGAGTTTGAGATGTCTCAAAGAGAGTGGTAGATGGCTGGGGCGGCCAGGGGGAGGCCTTGGGGTGACAGACCGATGATATGCGTGGTGAGGAAGATGAGAACGGACTCCTGGGGAGGTGGGGAGGGGGGGAGAGAGGGGGGGAGGGAGGGAGGGAGAGATGGAGGGGGGAGGGAGGGAGAGAGAGAGGGCCTGAGTAACTTGTTACCAGAGCCAAACCAGCCCATTCAGAGCGATGGCAGCAGCAGCGTTAAACTGAACTCCTGCATGAGAGAAACGTGGATGACTTGACACACCCACACAGAAGCGGAACAGGCATGGGAGAGAGCAGCACGCAAGCACTCACCTGGGGGTTTTCTTGGATGCGAGCGATGGCAGCACTGTCGTACTCTTTAGTAGAGAAACCCACACATGAGAGAAACAGGCATGAGATAGACAGCAGCACGCACGCACTCACCGGGGGGTTTTCCTGGATGCGAGCAATGGAAGCATCATCATACTCAATAGCAGCCAGCGATCTTGATGCACTCTCAGTCATTTCCCCGCTCGCCTCCCCACTCACCACTCGAGCCACACTCCACACTGCAAGCGCTGACGCTGAATCCCCTGCTCCTCCTGAATCCATTGCTCCTGAATCCATTGCTCCTGAATCCATTGACCCTGCTTCTCCTGTCTCTCCCTCTCTTGCTCCCGAACTTGTTGCTCCTGACTCTGCTGCTCTCGATTCCGATCCTGATTGTGCTCCTGCTCCTGCTGCTGCTGTTGCCGCTTGTTGCTGGGGGTGAGTTGGAGAGGCAGGGGGCTGGGGGTAGGAGGAGTGAACGGAGATGGGGGGAATGGGGCGGGGGGAAACACCGCCACTGGGGGCCGCCTTACCACCAGGAGGGGCAACGGGTTTCGAAGGACCGAGACTGGCCGCTGCCAATCGGGCCAGAGCGGGATTGAACCCTGCTCCTCCTGCTGCCGGCGCTGCTGCTGGTGCTGGTCCCCCTGTTGACTGCACACCAGAATGTGCGGCAGAATGTGCAGCAGCGGCGGCAGCAGCGGCCGATTGGGCGCGGTGCTGCGAGAGGGTTTCTGACAGCTGGCGCACGTCGTTGTCCTTGCTGGAAGGGGGGAAGGGGTGGGTGGGGGAAAGGGAAGGACAGGGAGAGGGCAGGGAGGGGAAGAGAGGGTGGGTGGGGAGAGGGGAGGGAGGTGTGGTGGAGAGGCATTTGAAAGAGAGTTGTGAAGAGGGTTTCTGACACCTGGCGCACGTCATTGTCCTTGCTGAAAGGGGTCCATGCGTGGGTGGGGAGTGGAGAATGGGGAAGGCAGGAAGGGAAGGACAGCCAGGGCTGGGAGGTGAAGAGAGTTGTGAAGAGGGTTTCTGACAGCTGGCGCACGTCATTCGTTGTCCTTGCTGGTGGGATGAATGGGTGCGTGGGAAGTGGGGAGTGGGGAAGGCAGGGAGGGGAGGACAGCCAGGGCAGGGAGGTGAAGCGAGCTGACGAGGTTCGAGTGAAAGCGGTGCTGCGAGAGGGGGTCTTTTGGGTCGACTCAAAAGTGCTGCGAGAGGGGGTCTTTTGGGTCGACTCAAAAGTGCTGCGAGAGGGGGTCTCTCTGAACAGCTGGCGCATGTCATTGTCCTTGCTGAAACGGGCGAAACCGGAAGTGGGGAGTGGAGAGGAGAGACGCTTGGAATGGAAGCTGAGAGAGGTCCCATGACCGTTGGCCCTTGTTGCTGTTTTTTCTGGGAAAAGGGAGGTGAGCTTGAGTCAAAAGCACCAAGAGTGAAAAAACATGTCTGTCTCAAGAGTCAAAAGCACTCAAGTCAGGAGTGTACAAGAGTCAACAAATGGAGAGGAGGGGAGAGGAGGGGAGAAGAACGGAAACATGAAGCCAAGGAGTTGAGAGACAGCGAGTGTGTGGGTTCATAACCACACATGGTTACATGGTTACATGGTTGAGATAGCAAGATCAAACGACACAGATCGTGTTTTGAGTCGAGTCAAGGCACAAATCATCCAACCATCTCCACCCATCCCAATCCTTCTCTCTCTACCCCCCTCTCCCCTTCTTCCCTCCCCCAGGTGCTCACCGCGTGAGTCGTTCCATAAGAACGCGCACTCGCCCCCTCAACTCCTCCACCTCCTCGCTCCTCTCCCTCACTTTTCCTCTCCCTCAACCCGAGTTGTTAATGTTAGCACAAGTTCTAACCCAAGTCCCCAACCAAACTGCCACCCATCCCCCCTCCCTCCCCCTCCTATCCCTTCCCTCCCCTTCCCCCTCCCGCTCCCCCCCCCTCACCCCTTTCCTCACCTTTTCAGTCGCTCCATAAGAACGCCCACCTGCCCCCTCAACTCCTCCACCTCCTCTCCCTTCTCCCGCACCTCCCCTTCCGCCCTCTCCGCCCTCTCCTCCGCCTCCTGCAGCCTCCTCTCCGTCTCCCCCAACGCGCCTCTCATCGCCACCACCTCTTCTCTAAGCTCCTCTAACTGTACCACACTGCGCGCCATAGCTGCAAACATGCCACTCCATGACGAGGATGGACCCCCTCCCATGCCCATGCCCATCCCTCCTGCTCCTCTTACTGCTCCTCCTCCTCCCCCCCCGCCTCCTGCTCCAGTTTCAGAAGCCACTTGCAGAATCTTGGGAGCCAGAGCACGCACGCGAGACCAGGGGCTGCTGCTTTTCCCACCTGCTTCCGCTCCTCCTGCTGCTGCTCCTCCTGCTCCTCCTCCTCCGCCTCCTCCGCCCTCTGCTCCCTCCCCCGAACCTCCCAAGCCCTCCTCCCGAGTTGTAGCAACCATGAAGATCCCCATGGCAGCAGAAGCCTCCCCCGCAGTGGAAACATGGCTCAACCGAGACGCATGTGCACCCCAAAGCATTGACCTGCTGCCTGCAACCCCCCTCCCACTCCTGCTCCCGCTCCCACTGCCGCTGCCGCTCCCTGCAAAACCCTTGCTGTTGTTTCCCCCAAGGTTCCGCTGCTGCCGATGCCCCCAGCAGCCCCCCACCTGCCTTCTTTCATAGACATGCTTCCTGTCCCTGCTAGCGCTTTCTGCAGGCTGTTGCTGCGGGTGGTGCTGCTGACCAGTTGCGAGGTACTGCGACTGCCTTGGGAAGCCTGCTGCCACGCAGCAGCAGCAGCAGCAGCAGGAGGAAGAGGAGGAGAAGAATCAGCATCAGCTGCAGCAGGAGCAGCAGCAGGAGCAGCAGCAGGAGCAGCAGCAGGAGCTGCCACGTCATCATTCGACAGGGTCGCGAGGACTTTCCACGAGTGCCGCACTCCGCCCAGGTCTGCTCCCAGCCCGCTTTTACCAGCACCAGCCACGTCAGCACCGGCCACATCAGCACCAGCCACGTCACCAGAACCAGTGGCAACTGCAGAACCACCGGCAGCACCATCACCAGAACCATCATCACCAGCAGCACTTAGGCTCCTGGTCTGCTCGCCACCAGCAGCAAACTGCAGCTCTGGGCTCGGCTGTAGCGGGCTGTGCATCCTGTCGCCGCTACAGCCGGGACCACCAACACTGCTGCCGCCCACACTAGGACCTCGAGAAGGCGGCGGCTTAACCACTGAACCGCGCCCAACCGCTTGACTTCCCGACAGGGAGGAAGGGGAGAAAGAAGGCGTGATTCTGGAGCTCGGGCTGGGTCGGAGAGAGCGAGAAGCAGGCACTGATCCCCCGCCGAATTTGCTTCGAGCAGCCGGGATTCTCAACTCAGGATGCTCTGTGGAATGCTCTGTTGGTCCTCCCACAGTGCTGCTGCTATGCCCGCCACTAAGCACCGCTGCTGCTGCAGACAACACACTCCCAGTAGCCTCACCTCCCCCTCCCCCCCCTTCCCCTCTTCCCGCTCCTTCCCCCTTGGGGCTGGACGGAGCAGTGGGACCCCTCGATCTGAGGTAGTTGCTATAAGAGGAAACACTACCCGTTCGGGAAAGGCACGGGGGAAGCCCTGGTGGGCGACTGTCTGCTGCAGCACGCTGCGAGGGACGTGCCTCAGGAGCTCCTCGGCTTTCTCCGCCCGGTGCTTCTCTTTGTTAAGAGCCGCTTTTAGCTGAGATATTTCGTGGTTGAGAGTTGCCATCTCGTGGGTGAGGCGCTTTACTGACTCCTCTGCCTCGTGCCGCTTCTGCTCCTCGCGTTGCTGAGTGACCCAAAACGAGGAAAAATGGGAGGGTAGGAGAGGGGGGGAAAAGTTCATATGGTTGAGTGTTGCCATCTCGTGGGTGAGGCGCTTTACTGACTCCTCTGCCTCGTGCCGCTTCTGCTCCTCGCGTTGCTGAGTGACCCAAAACGAGGAAAAATGGGAGGGTAGGAGAGGGGGGGAAAAGTTCATATGGTTGAGTGTTGCCATCTCGTGGGTGAGGCGCTTTACTGACTCCTCTGCTTCCTGCCGCTTCTGCTCCTCGCGTTGCTGTGTGGAAGGAGGGAAGGGAGGGGGCAGGAGGGGGATTTTGAAGGCAGAATAGGGAGAGAACCGTTCGTGGTTGAGAGTTGCCATCTCGTGGGTGAGGCGCTTTACTGACTCCTCTGCCTCGTGCCGCTTCTGCTCCTCACGTTGCTGGGGGGGGAAGGAGGGGAGTAGTCCGTAGAGGGGAAAGAATGGAGAGGTCACGAGGGGATTTGAAAGAGAAAGATAGGGAGATCTTGTGGACGAGTGTTGGTGCAGAGAATTCTCAAACGCGGTCTCGTGGGAGGGCCTCAAAAGCGAATCACCTGATATAATCACACCTTGTACTCCTGCCAGCAGCACCCTAAGGCGGCGCAGCGCAGCACGGTGAAGCGCAGCTCGTCCATGGAAGCTTCCACCTTGGCTGGTGCGTAGGCAGAGGGGCAAGACCCAACACCCACGACCCAACACACACCCTGCTTCTCAACGCTGCTAATCACCGTCGCACCTTGAGGCGGCGCAGCACGGTGAAGCGCAGCTCGTCCATGGTAGCTTCCACCTTGGCTGGTGTGTGGAGCAGCAAGTCGCTCTTGCTCACTTGCTCACAGTCACTCTTGTCTAATCCTCAAAGCTAACTAACCTCCGTCGCACCCTAAGGCGGCGCAGCACGGTGAAGCGCAGCTCGTCCATGGTAGCTTCCACCTTGGCTGGTGCGTGGCTGAGCAAGTCCCAAGGCACACAAACACAGCAACAGCACATGCCCAGCCAGCCAGTTGCCCCGTGACAGCCTAGTTGACTTTTGAGTCGACTCAAAAGCCAGCCAGTTGCCCCGTGACAGCCTACTAGTCTGCACCAGGCTACACACCTTGAGGCGGCGCAGCACGGTGAAGCGCAGCTCGTCCATGGTAGCTTCCACCTTGGTGCGGGACGGAGCAAGCAGCGCCGCCCGCTGTGCCGCCTGTGATGTGAGTGAGGTAGGGAGAGGAGACAATGCGAAACAAATAAATAAATAAATAAATAAAATCAGGAAAAACGGAGCTATTGGGAGTGTTATCTCTTCATCAGTGTTGGGCGAAACAAAGCATTCCGACTACTTGCGCGGAAAAGGAGGAGAACCGTCCAAGCTGTTGCCAGTCACCTCCTCTGCCTTGCTCCCTGTCATCTCCTCCGTCAGAGAACCCTTCAACCCGCCACCAAAAAGCCTCCTCCCTCAACCCTCACTCGTTCATCCTGTCATTCCTTCCACCTTCCACCGCTCACCTCCTTCATCTTCTTCAGTTCCATCCGTGCCACCTTCACCTTCACTTGCAGGCACCGTTTCCGTTCACATCCCACCAAGCCCCACCAAACCACTTACACTCAATCTCCCGTCTCGTTCCTTCCACCTTCCACCGCTCACCTCCTTCATCTTCTTCAGTTTCATCATCCGAGCCACGCCACCTTCACTTGCTTCCCATCCCACCCACCAACCCTCTATCACAAGCGAAGCCCCATCATTCCTTCCATCACTAACTAAGAATCACTCGTTCCCTCCGCCACACACCTCCTTCATCTTCTTCAGTCTCATCCAAGCCACCTTCACCTGCAGACACCGCCTCATGGCGCCCCATGGCTCTCTCACAAGCAGCCCCCATTCCCTCCATCACTAACTAACAATCTCCCACTCCCATCACGTTCCCTTCACAGACGCACCTCCTTCATCTTCTTCAGTCTCATCCGAGCCACCTTCACTTGTAGCACCCTCCTCATGGCGCCCCACGGCTTGCGCACCCTGTGCCCCCGCCAGTACCGCTGCAGGTGGGTGATGAGGAAGGGGGTGGGGTGAGAGGGAAGGTGCGGGCACGTGGAGAAAGAAGGGATGAGGTAAAGAAGACTTCACCTTCACTTGCACCGCATGGCGCAACACGGCTTGCGCACCCTGTGCCCCCGCCAGTACCGCTGCAGGTGGGTGATGAGGAAGGGGGTGGGGTGAGAGGGAAGGTGCGGGCACGTGGAGAAAGAAGGGATGAGGTAAAGAAGACTTCACCTTCACTTGCACCGCATGGCGCAACACGGCTTGCGCACCCTGTGCCCCCGCCAGTACCGCTGCAGGTGGGTGATGAGGAAGGGGGTGGGGTGAGAGGGAAGGTGCGGGCACGTGGAGAAAGAAGGGATGAGGTAAAGAAGACTTCACCTTCACTTGCACCGCATGGCGCAACACGGCTTGCGCACCCTGTGCCCCCGCCAGTACCGCTGCAGGTGGGTGATGAGGAAGGGGGTGGGGTGAAAGGGAAGGTGCGGGGACGTGGAGAAAGAAGGGATGAGGTAAAGAAGACTTCACCTTCACTTGCACCGCATGGCGCCCCACGGCTTGCGCACCCTGTGCCCTCGCCAGTACCGCTGCAGGTGGGTGATGAGGAAGGGGGTGGGGTGAGAGGGAAGGTGCAGGCACGTGGAGAAAGAAGGGATGAGGTAAAGACTTCACCTTCACTTGCACCGCATGGCGCAACACGGCTTGCGCACCCTGTGCCCCCGCCAGTACCGCTGCAGGTGGGTGATGAGGAAGGGGGTGGGGTGAGAGGGAAGGTGCGGGCACGTGGAGAAAGAAGGGATGAGGTAAAGAAGACTTCACCTTCACTTGCACCGCATGGCGCAACACGGCTTGCGCACCCTGTGCCCCCGCCAGTACCGCTGCAGGTGGGTGATGAGGAAGGGGGTGGGGTGAAAGGGAAGGTGCGGGGACGTGGAGAAAGAAGGGATGAGGTAAAGAAGACTTCACCTTCACTTGCACCGCATGGCGCCCCACGGCTTGCGCACCCTGTGCCCCCGCCAGTACCGCTGCAGGTGGGTGATGAGGAAGGGGGTGGGGTGAGAGGGAAGGTGCGGGCACGTGGAGAAAGAAGGGATGAGGTAAAGACTTCACCTTCACTTGCACCGCATGGCGCAACACGGCTTGAGTACCCTGTACCCTCGCCAGTAGCGCTGCAGATGGGAGGTGGGAGATGGGGGAGGGGTTTGGGTGGGTGGGAAAGGTGGTTTGGGGTTGGGAGAGAATATACCACGTCCTTTCCTGCTGCATGCGCAGCGCCCGTTGCAGGGAGTTTTTGAGAATTCTCAAAAACTCCCTGCAGGTGGGAGATGGGGGAGGGGTTTGGGTGGGAGGGAAAGGTGGTTTGGGGTTGGGAGAGAATATAACACGTCCTTTCCTGCTGCATGGCACCCCATGGCTTGCGCGCCCTGTGCCCCCGCCAGTACCGCTGCAGGTGGGAGGCGGGGGAGGGGTTTGGGTGGGAAAGGTGGTTTGGGGTTGGGAGAGAAGATACCACGTCCTTTCCTGCTGCATGCGCAGCGCACGCTCTTCTGAATCACAGTCACGTATAAGAGCCTCTAGACACAGCACACAATGCCCAAGACACTGACACCACATTGAACCTTCCCACACACCTGAATAACGACAGTTGCCAGCGTCTTCCTGAGCATGATGTACCGCTTCCCTGCTTGCTGCATGCGCACGTTCTTCTGAATCACATCGCTGCTGGAAGCCCCTAGTCACACAGGCCCGAAACACTGGCACAGCCGCACCGCTTTCAACCTTCCCACACACCTGAATGACGACAGCAGCCAGCGTTCGCCTGAGAAGAATATACCGCTTCCTTGCTTGCTGCATGCGCACGTTCTTCTGAATCACAATCGTTCACCGGGCCCTAATTTAAATCTACCGGGCCTGCGACACTAGCACCGCTTTCAACCGTTCCACACACCTGAATGACGATGGTGGCCAGAGTCCTCCTCAGCAGAATATACCGCTTCCTTGCTTGCTGCATGCGCACGTGTTTCTGAATCACAATCGCTGCAAACTTGAGCTCCCAGAAGCGCTTCTCCAGAAGGAATCGCCGCACGTGCTTCTGAATGACCAGGGCTGCTGCGTCCTCCCTCAACTCCTTCAGCAGCTTCCTGGCTCGGTAGGCTGTCAGTGGGGGGAAGCAAGGGTGACAGGGGTGGGGAGAAGACAAGAGAGTGGCACACAGGTGGATGAGGGTGTGAGTGAGGGACACCAGAAGCGCTTCTCCAGAAGGAATCGCCGCACGTGCTTCTGAATGACAAAGGCTGCTGCGTCCTCCCTCAACTCCTTCAGCAGCTTCCTGGCTCGGTAGGCTGCGAGTGGGGAGGAAAGAGGTGACAGGAGTGTGGCACACAGGTGGGTGCGGATGTGAATGAGGCGGATCGCCGCACGTGCTTCTGGAAGAACACGGCTGCTGCGTCCTCCCTCAACTCCTGCATAAGCAGGAGCAACAAAAAGATAACAAGATACCACACCACACCACACCACACCACACCACACCACACCACACCACACCACACCACACCACACCACACCACACCATAACGCACCTTTCCAGTGCTTCTGAATGACAATCGCAGCCCGCACGCGCTCCTGCTTCCACAGGAATCGCCGCACAGCCCGCTGGATCTTGGTGGCAGCGAGGCTCATGCGGTCGAGACGGAGCGACTCGAGGGTAACCAGCTGCACCCCCTTCATAAACACCTTTGTCTTGCCGACCTGGGAGGGGGGTGGGGCATGGAAGAGGGGGGAAGAATGGGGAAAGGAGGCGGGGACGAGGGAGGTGAAAGGGGGAAAAGAGAGAGTAAGAGAGGGGGAAGGGAGGGGATGGAGTGAGTGGGTGTGTGTTCCATAATCCACTGGAATCGCCGCACGGCCCGCTGGATCTGGGTGGCAGCGAGGTTCATGCGGTCGAGATGGAGCGACTCGAGCGTCACCAGCTGCATGCCCTTCATAAGCACCTTGGTCTTGCCGATCTGAGATCGGGATGGGGCATGGACGAGGGAGGGAACCAGGGAACGAATGAGCGGGGAGTGGGAGAGTGGAGAGTGGAGAGTGAGAGGAGGGATGAACTCGAGCGTGGCCAGCTGCACCCATCATTCATTAACACCTTGGAATGGAAGACGGGGTTTACCACCATCCGACGGGGTTTAACCCCGTCCTCTCACCCGTCTTGAGACGTCTCAAAACTAGAAACAGGAGGCACCAGCGACAGACCGCAGTGACTACATCTAGTTTTGAGACGTCTCAAAACTAGAAACAGGAGGCACCAGCGACAGACCGCAGTGACTACATCTAGTTTTGAGACGTCTCAAAACTAGAAACAGGAGGCACCAGCGACAGACCGCGGTGACTACATCTAGTTTTGAGACGTCTCAAAACTAGAAACAGGAGGCACCAGCGACAGACCGCAGTGACTACATCTAGTTTTGAGACGTCTCAAAACTAGAAACAGGAGGCACCAGCGACAGACCGCGGTGACTACATCTAGTTTTGAGACGTCTCAAAACTAGAAACAGGAGGCACCAGCGACAGACCGCGGTGACTACATCTAGTTTTGAGACGTCTCAAAACTAGAAACAGGAGGCACCAGCGACAGACCGCGGTGACTACATCTAGTTTTGAGACGTCTCAAAACTAGAAACAGGAGGCACCAGCGACAGACCGCAGTGACTACATCTAGTTTTGAGACGTCTCAAAACTAGAAACAGGAGGCACCAGCGACAGACCGCGGTGACTACATCTAGTTTTGAGACGTCTCAAAACTAGAAACAGGAGGCACCAGCGACAGACCGCAGTGACTACATCTAGTTTTGAGACGTCTCAAAACTAGAAACAGGAGGCACCAGCGACAGACCGCGGTGACTACATCTAGTTTTGAGACGTCTCAAAACTAGAAACAGGAGGCACCAGCGACAGACCGCGGTGACTACATCTAGTTTTGAGACGTCTCAAAACTAGAAACAGGAGGCACCAGCGACAGACCGCAGTGACTACATCTAGTTTTGAGACGTCTCAAAACTAGAAACAGGAGGCACCAGCGACAGACCGCGGTGACTACATCTAGTTTTGAGACGTCTCAAAACTAGAAACAGGAGGCACCAGCGACAGACCGCAGTGACTACATCTAGTTTTGAGACGTCTCAAAACTAGAAACAGGAGGCACCAGCGACAGACCGCAGTGACTACATCTTGCTCACCTCTTTCTGTCTTGGCTCGGCAGCAGCGGGCTGAACCGTGCTTCGAAGTATTTTTCTAGGTGTCTCAAAAATCACCTCTTCAGACGCCTAAGAAATAAAATCACCTCTTCAGACGCCTAAGAAATCAAATCACCTCTTTCTGTCTGGACTTGGCAGCAGCGGGCTGAACCGCGCCTCAAAGTCTTCAAACGTGCGCCGAGCCGGGTAACCTGTAGAGCACAGGCGCACTGCCTCTAGCACACCCTGCGAGGAGGGGGGAGGAGAAGGAGGCACAGGGGCGGAGGGAGACCGGGGGGACAAGGAAAGGCGAGTGCGTGGTAGCTAAGGGGTAGCCCGTGGAGCACAGGCGCACTGCCTCTGGCACTGCAGAGGTGCAAGCAAGGGGTGGTGTGCAAGCAAGGGGTGGTGTGCAAGCAAGGGGTGGTGTGCAAGCAAGGGGTGGTGTGCAAGCAAGGGGTGGTTTGCAAGCAAGGGGTGGTTTGCAAGCAAGGGGTGGTTTGCAAGCAAGGGGTGGTTTGCAAGCAAGGGGTGGTTTGCAAGCAAGGGGTGGTTTGCATCACGTTCTGCACGTCCCAGGGCTGAATACCAGCCAGCACTGCTACACGTTCTGCACGTCCCAGGGCTGAATACCAGCCAGCACTGCTACACGTTCTGCACGTCCCAGGGCTGAATACCAGCCAGCACTGCTACACGTTCTGCACGTCCCAGGGCTGAATACCAGCCAGCACTGCTACACGTTCTGCACGTCCCAGGGCTGAATACCAGCCAGCACTGCTACTTTACTTTGAGACGTCTCGAAATAACACTTTTATCACGTGGCTTAATACCAGCCAGCACTGCTACACGTTTGCAAGCGGGCGGGTATACCTGCGTTTCATGACTTTTGAGACGTCTCAAAAGTGGCTTGCATCACGCAAACTAAACTAGCACGGAAGGATTGGAGATTAACAAGCGACGACGGCTGGGCAGTGTCGCAATGCTGCCCCACTCACCCCTGATCGCAACTGCTCCACCACGAGCGTGTTGGAGAACTTCTGTGGCTTGAGGTCCTTGTTGGGCTTCACACACCGCACGTAGTGAGGTTCGGTTGCATTGAGCGTTCGCATCAACTCGCCCAGTTGCTCCTGAGAGGGTGGGAGGAGGGTTTGGGGAGCGGAGAGGGCCAAGGGTGGGGAGGGGGTGGGGTGGGTGGAAGAAGGGGAAAAGTTGCCTGTGTGGCTTTAGTGTGGCTCAGTTGCATTAAGCGTTCACATCAACTCGCCCAGTTGCTCCTGGGGGTGGGAGGTGGAGGAGGGTCAGGAGGGTTTGTGTTGCTTGGGAAGGGTTGAGGTCCTTGTTGGGCTTGACGCACCGCACGTAGTGCGGTTTCGTTGCATTCAGCGTGGGCATCAACTCGCCCAGTTGCTCCTGGGAAGGAGGACGGGGTGGCGTGGTGTTGAGGAGGGGTAGCAGGGATGGCTTGAGGTCCTTGTTGGGCTTGACGCACCGCACGTAGTGCGGTTTCGTTGCATTCAGCGTGGGCATCAACTCGCCCAGTTGCTCCTGGGAAGGAGGACGGGGTGGCGTGGTGTTGAGGAGGGGTAGCAGGGATGGCTTGAGGTCCTTGTTGGGCTTCACACACAGCACGTAGTGGGGCATGCGCATCAACTCGCCCAGTTGCTCCTGGGGGATGGAGGAGGAGGTTGTTGAGAAGGAGGATGGATGAGTGGTTGAGGAGATGAGCGATTGGAGAGCGGAGGTGTTGCTTGCATTGACTGGGAGCAACAATGATGACGTTGTCAGCAGCTTCCCGTGCTCCCCTTCTCTCCCCGCCCCCATTCCTTCACACTCCACCTTATCCATCCCCCCTCGATCCACGTAACCTCATGCCCCTTTCAACACACGTGACCAGCCCCCTCAATTCACATAACCCCTTTCCTTCCCTCCCAAGCCTCTCACCTTGAATCTCTTTCCCAGGGAGACAGCCTTCACCGCCTTGCCAGTTTCAGGCGGTGGGAAGAGCGTTCGCACAAAGTCAGAGTGGGAGCGCGCCAGCAGCTCCTCGTGCTCTGATGTCTCTCTCTCTCCACCCAGCCCCTCACCTTGAATCTCTTCCCCAGGGACACGGCCTTCACCGCCTTGCCAGTTTCCGGGGGCGGGAAGAGCGTTCGCACAAAGGCAGAGTGAGAGGGTGCCAGCAGCTCCTCATGCTCCACTCTCTCTCTCCCCACCCCCATCCCCCCTACCATACATAACCCCATCATTCACCCCCAACACCTCTCTCACCTTGAACCGCTTCCCCAGGGACACAGCCTTCACTGCCTTGCCGGTCTCGGGCGGTGGGAAGAGCGTTCGCACAAAGGCAGAGTGGGAGCGCGCCAGCAGCTCCTCATGCTCCGGTACTAGTGCGTCGAGGTTCTTCACTATAAACTCTTCTGCCTGGTACTTCACCTGTGAGGATGTAGGGGAGAAAGAAGGGGGAACAGAGCAACAGTCGATGCATGCAAGGAGTGCGACCAAGCCAGCAGCTCTTCATGCTCTGGCACCAGTGCGTCGAGATTCTTCACTAGAAACTCTTCCGCCTGGTACTTCACCTGTGAGGATGAAAGGGGAGACAGAGGAGGAGAAAGCGCAAAGGTCAACGCACACAGGAGCAAGGCACAAAGGCAGAGTGGGAGCGCGCCAGCAGCTCTTCGTGCTCCGGTACTATTGCATCGAGGTTCTTCACTAGAAACTCCTCTGCCTGGTACTTCACCTGCGAGAAAGAGGGAATGTGGGGGGTGAGGAGTGAGGAGGGGAGTGGGGGTGGGGAGGGGATGCCACACATATACACACGTTAGCCTAGACAGCAGCTCCTCGTGCTCTGGCACCAGGGCGTCGAGATTCTCCACCAGAAACTCTTCTGCCTGGTACTTCACCTGCAGTGGACGGGGGTAGAGGAGGAGAACGGGCAGTGGGCAGGAAGAAACGAGCAAAGGGCAAGGCACACACGGTTCAGAGTGGGAGCGCGCCAGCAGCTCTTCATGCTCTGGCACCAGGGCGTCGAGATTCTTCACCAAAAACTCTTCTGCCTGGTACTTCACCTGTGAGAGGTGACAAGTGGGTGACACACACACACACACACACGCACACACGCACACACACACGCATTCACATTAGCCTTGCAAGCAGCTCCTCATGCTCTGGGACCAGTGCATCGAGGTTCTCCACCAGAAACTCCTCTGCTGGTACTTCACCTGTGAGGGAGGAGAAGTGGGGTTTGGGGAGTAAGGGGGGAACGACCCGCATTCACATTAGCCTTGCAAGCAGCTCCTCATGCTCCGGCACGAGCGCATCGAGATTCTTCACCAGAAACTCCTCTGCTGGTGCTTCATCTGCAGCAGGGGGATACAGTGGGAGAAAGAGCAACTGTTCAATGCGCGCAAGGCTGCAGAGTGGGAGAGAGCAAGCAGCTCCTCATGCTCTGGCACCAGGGCGTCGAGATTCTTGACCAGAAAATCCTCTGTCTGGTACTTCACCTGCAGGGGGGTGAAGGGGGAGGGGAGAGGGGGAGAGGGAAGGGAGGGGGGGGTGCAAGGAACAACACAACACATGTTCCCCAATCCGATGCAGGCCCACCCTCTCAAATTCCCTACCCCCACACGCACCCCACCTTGCCAGCGTAGTGCTTGACACTGAAGTCAGAACGCGACATCTTGGACATGGAGAAGCGCTTGTGCTTGCGGCATCTCACACACACACGTGCCTTGTCCCTCCCTCCCTCCCACGGCGCTCCCTTCAATCTGCCCCCAATCTAAGCACCCCAACTCCTTTCCCCCACCTTGCCAGCGTAGTGCTTGACACTGAAGTCAGATCACGACATCTTAGACTTGGAGAAGCGCTTGTGCTTGCCCAGCGTGCTGTAGAGCGTCTGACAGAAGGCCTCAGGCGTGCTGTCTAGCGTACTGGTGGGGGAAGGAGGAGAAGAGGGAGGGGAGAGGACCAACGGGGAGGCTGGATTGGCCGCCTGTGCTTGCCCAGCGTGCTGTAGAGCGTCTGACAGAAGGACTCAGGCGAGCTGTCTAGCGTACTGGTGGGGGAAGGAGGAGAAGAGGGAGGGGAGAGGAGGAGAGGACCAACGGGGAGGCTGGATTGGCCGCCTGTGCTTGCCCAGCGTGCTGTAGAGCGTCTGACAGAAGGACTCAGGCGAGCTGTCTAGCGTACTGGTGGGGTGGGAGGGGGATGGGGGAGGTGGGGGTGTTGGAGAGAGGAGACAAGAGTGCAGCGGAGAAGGAAGGTTTAGAATGGCAGGCTAGTTCGAAGTGCCGCTTGTGCTTGCCCAGCGTGTTGTAGAGCGTCTGAAAGAAGGTCTCAGGCGTGGAGCTATCTAGCTTGCTGTTGGGGGGGGAAGGAGGGAGGGTGCGGCAGGGGCGGTTGGGGGAAGAGGCAAGAGAGCAGGAGGGCTCAGGTCAGGGTGACAAGCTGGCTAGAAGTATCGTTCTCGTGCAAAGGATCGAACACACAGAAGACTTTTGAGTCGACTCAAAAGTCACCTCGTTACCATGGCACTTGAGTCGACTCAAAAGTCACCAAGAGAGCTGGAGGGAGGGCTCAGGTCAGGGTGGCAAGCTGGCTAGAAGTATCGTTCTCGTGCAAAGGATCGAACACACAGAAGGATGGGTGAACATTCTATGAACGAGATTATGGGTTTGATGAGGTTCATAGAATGTTCAGAGCGCATACACAAGAAACCAGTAGGTAGGGGGGTTTCGAAAGCTATCACTGCGTATATGCAATGCACTGAATGCCTTGTATAGTACGTACCAGGCAGAGTCCAGGAGTGCGAGAATACCTTGATTCTGCAATCACGTGCGCAGAGGGGGACAGGGGTGCAGGGGTGCACACATGCACACATGCACACATGCACACATGCACACATGCACACATGCACACATGCACACATGCACACATGCACACATGCACACATGCACACATGCACACATGCACACATGCACACACACACACATGCACACACACACACATGCACACATGCACACATGCACACATGCACACATGCACACACACACACATGCACACACACACACATGCACACATGCACACATGCACACATGCACACATGCACACATGCACACATGCACACACACACACATGCACACACACACACATGCACACATGCACACATGCACACATGCACACATGCACACATGCACACATGCACACATGCACACATGCACACATGCACACATGCACACATGCACACATGCACACATGCACACACACATGCACACATGCACACATGCACACATGCACACATGCACACATGCACACATGCACACATGCACACATGCACACATGCACACATGCACACATGCACACATGCACACATGCACACATGCACACATGCACACATGCACACATGCACACATGCACACATGCACACATGCACACATGCACACACACACACATGCACACACACACACATGCACACATGCACACATGCACACATGCACACATGCACACACACACACATGCACACACACACACATGCACACATGCACACATGCACACATGCACACATGCACACATGCACACATGCACACACACACACATGCACACACACACACATGCACACATGCACACATGCACACATGCACACATGCACACATGCACACATGCACACATGCACACACATCACACACATGCACACACACACACATGCACACATGCACACATGCACACATGCACACATGCACACATGCACACATGCACACATGCACACATGCACACATGCACACATGCACACATGCACACATGCACACATGCACACATGCACACATGCACACATGCACACATGCACACACACACACATGCACACATGCACACATGCACACATGCACACATGCACACATGCACACATGCACACACACACACATGCACACACACACACATGCACACATGCACACATGCACACATGCACACATGCACACATGCACACATGCACACATGCACACATGCGCACATGCACACATGCGCACATGCACACATGCGCACATGCACACATGCGCACATGCACACATGCGCACATGCACACATGCGCACATGCACACATGCGCACATGCACACATGCACACATGCGCACATGCACACATGCGCACATGCACACATGCGCACATGCACACATGCACACATGCATGGACACACGCACACATGCACACATGCACACATGCATGGACACACGCACACATGCACACATGCATGGACACACACACACATGCACACATGCACACATGCATGGACACACGCACACATGCACACATGCACACATGCATGGACACACGCACACATGCACACATGCGCACATGCATGGACACACGCACACATGCACACATGCATGGACACACACACACATGCACACATGCACACATGCATGGACACACGCACACATGCACACATGCACACATGCATGGACACACGCACACATGCACACATGCATGGACACACACACACATGCACACATGCACACATGCATGGACACACGCACACATGCACACATGCATGGACACACACACACATGCACACATGCATGGACACACACACACATGCACACATGCATGGACACACACACACATGCACACATGCATGGACACACACACACATGCACACATGCATGGACACACACACACATGCACACATGCATGGACACACACACACATGCACACATGCATGGACACACACACACACATGCACACATGCATGGACACACACACACATGCACACATGCATGGACACACACACACATGCACACATGCATGGACACACACACACACATGCACACATGCATGGACACACACACACATGCACACATGCATGGACACACACACACATGCACACATGCATGGACACACACACACACATGCACACATGCATGGACACACACACACATGCACACATGCATGGACACACACACACACATGCACACATGCATGGACACACACACACATGCACACATGCATGGACACACACACACACATGCACACATGCATGGACACACACACACATGCACACATGCATGGACACACACACACATGCACACATGCATGGACACACACACACATGCACACATGCATGGACACACACACACATGCACACATGCATGGACACACACACACATGCACACATGCATGGACACACACACACATGCACACATGCATGGACACACACACACATGCACACATGGGCACATGCGCACATGCACACATGCACACATGCACACATGTGCGAATGCACACATGCACACATACATGCATGAAAAGGTTCGACAAACAAACAAGCACCAGAGAGCAAGAAGCATCGCATCACATGCACATAAGCAAAGCCCGCCCGCCCCAGCTGTTGCTGCAAGCGAAACAGAGGAATCCAAAGCAGATGATGCATCAAGCGTACTAAAAAGAAACAGATGATCTCAATTTCTTCCTGAAATATTACCCCCCCTCCTCCTCCTCCCTGCCCCAGGAAATTCGTCTCTCACCTTCACTACGAAGAAGAAACCACCCCTCACCCACCCCTTCAATTTGCTCAAGCACGTGTTGGTTGTCTTGTCAGCAAAATCAGTTCGAGACCAGTCTATGCCCTCAGCCTCGTACTAGTCGGGTTTTTTTGGCTTCTCAGACAGACACCCCCTCTACTCACTCACCCCTTTGATCAGTTCGCGCACATCCTGGTTGTCAACAAAGTCAATCCAAGACCAGTCTATGCCCTCTGCCTACCCCATACAACACACCTAGAGGCAAGGTAAAATCACAGCCCTTCATAGAGCTAATTACTTCCCACTCACCCCTTCAACCAGCTCGAGCACGTCTTGGTTGTCAACCAAGTCGATTCGAGACCAGTCTATGCCCTCTGCCTCAGAGTTCTCAGAGTTGGTTCTTGGTAATTCTCAGAGACACCCTATTCTCACTCACTCACTCACTCACCCCTTCAACCAGCTCAAGCACGTCTTGGTTGTCGACAAAGTCGATCCGAGACCAGTCTATGCCCTCTGCCTGCCTGCCTCATATGCGTTTTGACTCGAGTCAAAAGCAGCAAACCTAGCTCATAGACAATCTCGGCCCCTCAATAACCACCCCTCACACTCACCCCTTCAACCAGCTTGAGCACGTCCTGGTTGTCCACAAAGTCAATTCGAGACCAGTCTTTGCCCTCTGCCTCGAAATGGCCGGGGTTTTCTAGAACTCTAAGACAGACACCCACTTCTCACTCACTCACCCCTTCAACCAGTTCGAGCACGTCCTGGTTGTCAACGAAGTCAATTCGAGACCAGTCTATGATGGACACCCACTTTCCACTCACTCACTCACTCACTCACTCACTCACTCACGCACTCACGCACTCACCCCTTCAACCAGCTCGAGCACGTCCTGGTTGTCGACAAAGTCAATCCGAGACCAGTCTATGCCCTCTGCCTCGTACTCCTCCTGCTGCTGCTTCAGCACATGCTGTGGTGGGAAGGTGTGGGGTTAGGTGTTGGGGGGTAGTGGGAAATGTTGAGGGGTGGCTTGAGGTGTTTCTTCTAGGAGTGGGGGGTTGCAGTGGGGGAAAGCGGGAGAATCAAACCAGTCTATGCCCTCTGCCTCAGACTCCTGCTGCTGCTACTTCAGCATGGGCTGTGAGCGGGCAGAGATGGGAAGGGATATTGGCAGGACGTTGAGTAGCATGGGATGGAGCAGAAGAGACGGGGGCGACGGAAAATATAAAAACACAGAGAAACAGAAACGCATCAGCTTTGTGTGTGAGGGACCTACCGAGGCCCTTACTTCACTGTCTCAACCCAAGTGCCTGAAATTCCTGGTTCCCCGTGTGTGACCTACCGAGCTGAAATGCTGCTGTTTTGAGACGTCTCAAAACACTTCTTTTATCACGCAGCCCAAGCCAAGTGCCTGAAATTCCTGGTCCTCGTGAGGCACATACCGAGTTGAAATGCTGCTGCAGCTTTTCGTTGGTGAGATTGATGCACAGCTGCTCAAAACTGGGCGTGAGAAACGGGAGAGAAGCAAGAGTATGGGGGGGAAGACGTTGGGGAGAAGAGCAGGAAGAGAGGGGAGAGAGAAAATATACAGGTGACAAGGGAGGGCAGGAATAGGTGGGGAAACGAAACAGGAGGAAGCTGGGCAAGAAGAGTGGCAAACGAGAGCAGTAAGTCCACAAGAGTGGCATTCCAATCCAGACAAAAGGTTTCAAAAATCATGAGTGCACGCAACTTCAATCAAAAGTGGACGCACCTGTTGACTTTGAAATGCTCGAAGCCATAAATATCAAGGACTCCGATGATAGACGCATGGTTGGGGTCCTGACCAATGCTCTCATTCACCTTTGACACAATCCTGGTGGTGAAAGAGAGAGGGTGGCAGAGAGACAGAGAGCGGAAGCAGCAACAGGTGGGCATGCAAGTGAGGAGAAGAGAGGCGGCGTGAGTAGAGGAACTTGGCGAGGGTGTCTCGCTTGACCGTGAGGGGGAGAGAGGGGGAGATGGGGAGAAGGGGAGAAGGGAAGAAGGGGAGAAGGGGAGAAGGGGAGATGGCAGGCACCCACCAGTCAAAGAGGCGCGAGTAGAGGAACTTGGCGAGGGTGTCTCTCTTCCCGACCGCCTTCTTAGGGTCCAGCGGGGTCCTGATTACCTCCCGGCCAAACTTGCGCTTCTGGGAAACGAGGGAGTTCCACAGCGCTGCCTCGTCGCACCTGATGGCGAGGGGCAAGGGGAAGGAGGGAGAGAAGAGGATGAGGGGTATATGAGGGGATTCTTGGCATCCAGCGGGCTCCAGATGACCTCCCGGCCGAACTTGCGCGTCTGAGAGACGAGGGAGTCCCACAGCGCTGCCTCATCGCACCTGATAGGGGGAAGGGGAACGGGATGGGGGAGCAAAGCAGGGTGGAGGGTCTTTTTGGCATCCAGGGGGCTCCAGATGACCTCCGGCTGAACGTGCGCGTCTGGGAGACGAGGGAGTTCCACAGAGCCGCCTCATCACACCTGATGGAGGAAGGGTGAGTGGATGGGGGGAAGAAGGGGGGCGGAGTAGCAATGAGGACGAGGAGTGAGGGCCAGTAGCTCTGATAAAAGCTAGCCCATTCTCTTTTGAGTCGACTCAAAAGCTAGCCCTGTGAGTCGACTCAAAAGCTGACTTTTGAGTCGACTCAACAGTTAGCCCTGTTCTCTTCCAGGCACTATCTACACCACAGCCACGCCACGCCCTCCCCTCCACCTACTCGAGGAGACGCGCCACTGTCTTACATCGATCGGCCTCTGCTCTGCCTTGCCGTTCTTTGCCAGCAGAGGGGGCTGCTCGCCTGGTGAAACCACAGTATAGCCCATCGCTTACCCACATAACCCCCTCACCACAGGCACCCCCCCGTTTCCACGTACTCGAGCAGGCGAGCCACTGTCTTGACTGCCGCCTCTGCCTTGCCGTTCTTTGCCACCAGAGGGGGCTGCTCGCCTGTCCCGTCCACCATCCCATCCCACCTGTGCTGAAAGCAGCACATCATAGCCCACCTCCTCCAAAGTAACATCAAGACCACAGGTACGACCTACACCACACAGGTACCACCTACTCAAGCAGGCGAGCCACAGATTGACTGCCGCCTCTGCCTTGTCGTTCTTTGCCACCAGAGGGAGCTGCTCGCCTGTCCCGTCCGTGCTCTCTGGCTGCATGAAGTCCACATTGCCCAGATAACACCTACACCACAGGTAAGAGGCACACCACAGGTACCACCTACTCGAGGAGTCGTGCCACTGTCTTGACTGCCGCCTCTGCCTTGTCATTCTTTGCCACCAGCGAGGGCTGCTCGCCTGCCCCGTCCGTGCTCTCCGGCTGGGTGAAGTCCACATTGCCCAGATGCATAATGGCCGCCACCACTGCGAATATGCCCTCCTGAGATGGGGGAGATAGCAGCAATGAGCACGAGTGAAGAGCAGGAGTGGAAGAGCAGGTGTGAGGAGCATGAGTGAAGGGCTGCTCGCCTGTCCCGTCCACACACTGTCCGGCTGCGTAAAGTCCACATTGCCCAGATGCATAATGGCCGCCACCACTGCGAATATGCCCTCCTGATGGTGGGGGAGTGGGGTGATGAGGGAACGGGGCAAGGCAATGGGAGAAGCATGATCAGCTGCTCTCTCCCGTGTCCCGTCCCGTCTGTGCTCTCTGGCTGTATAAAGTCCACATTGCCCAGATGCATAATGGCCGCCACCACTGCGAATATGCCCTCCTGGTGGTGGGGGAGTAAGTGGGGGCACGAGGGCATGATGGAATGGGTCAGTGGGGCAAAAGCATGACCAAGGGGTGCTACTTTCTGCTCTCTGTTTTGTGCGCTCTGCTGTCTAACCTGCCCTGCCCCTCCATGCTCTCCGAGTTGACTTTTGAGTCGACTCAAAAGTCAACTTGCTGTCTAACCTGGCCTGCCCCTCCATGCTCTCCGGCTGGGTGAAGCCCACACCCCATGCCCATCGCCCATAACTCACCCCCTTGCACTCACCGCTGGCTCCCCAGTGTGTTTTGAGTACCACCTGCCCACCCCTAGTTCTCACCTGTTCATGCAGGTCATTCCAAATCTCACCCCCTTGTGCTCACCTGCTCGCGTGGGTCGAACCCCATGACGTTCATGGCAGAGCGAGTGGATTCATACTCCATCGCGTTGCTGTTCTTTCCGGGCAGCTCGTAGCAGTCGCTCTGCGCCAAGTAGTAAAAATCTGCTGCCCGCTCGCCCTCTGTGGGCAGAGAATACTTTTCTGATTCCTGCGGTGTGGACAAAAGAGGGGGAGCATAAAGAGTTATGCTCGTTTTTCTTGAAAGTGTGTGCACATGTCTAGTCCTGTGCACGCTCAAAGCTCCCCGTCAAAAGCTCTCCGGCTGTGAGGGTAAGTTCCGTTATACATCTCGCTCACGTCTTTTGAGAATTCTCAAAAGTCACACGAATATAGTCCTGTAAACGCCCAAAGTCACCAGCACACTCACCTCATGCGACATGCCACATGCGTATTTTATGAGCTCACTGAGAAGGCATCAGATACACGCTCAATCACCTCACCAGCACACTCACCTCATGCGACATGCCACATGCACATTGTTTGAGTCGACTCAAGTGAGTCACATGCCTCTCAAGAGTCACCAGGTACTTTGCATGTGGCTCGAAGTCACCAGCACACATGCCACATGCCACATGCCACATGCATATCTTATGGGTCCATTGAAAAGGCATCACATGCACGCTCAATCGCCACGCGCTCACCTCAGCTCGGGAAACATGTCACATGCACATCACCAACACTCCGTCACTCTCCCCCACACTCCGTCACTCTCCCCCACACTCCGTCACTCTCCCCCACACTCCGTCACTCTCCCCCACACTTTGTCACTCAACTCATTACTCACCCCCTCACTCTCTCACTCATTCACTCTTCCTAAGGTTGGCTTACATGCACAGACACATCATCACACACTCCCTCTCTCACTTTCTCACTCACTCCCACACTCACTCTATCACTTACTTCCTCACTCACTCACCTCGGGCGTGGCCCCATAGAGCAGCTGATAGAAGCAGTGGGAGGAGCGCTCAGGGTTATTGATCTGCACCACTCTGGACCGGGAAGGTTGACTCAAACGCACACATACACCGTCACAACACCCTCATTCACTCACTCCTCCCTCACTCACTCACTCACTCACTCACTCTCTCACCTCGGGCGTGGCCCCATAGAGCAGCTGGTAGAAGCAGTGGTAGGAGCGCTCAGGGCTGTTGATCTGCACCACTCTGGACTGCTCCAGCAGGTACGACCGAATGGCTGCTCCTGTCACCCTGCCGTCACTGTCAAAGTGAATCTCAATGAACTTGCCGAAACGACTGGGAGGAGGAAGGGAATGGGAGAGGCAGAAGGGGAGAATGGGCCGAGCGGAGGGGGTGGGAAGGGACGGGTGTGTCAGGGTCACCTCTCACCCTGTCACCCTGCCATCGCTGTCAAAGTGAATCTCAATGAACTTGCCAAAGCGACTGCTCTGCCACCCCTGCCACCCTGCCACCCCTGCCACCCTGCCACCCCTGCCACCCTGCCACCCTGCCACCCCTGCCACCCTGCCACCCTGCCACCCTGCCACCCTGCCACCCGTGCCTGTCAGTCACTCGTACCACCCTGCCTCTTGTTACGCAGGACTACACCCACGGAACTCAACATCCGAGGATCCTGCGAAGGGACTCACCTAGAGTTGTTATTGCGCACTGTCTTGGCGTTCCCAAACGTCTCCAGGACTTGGTTCGACTGGGGTGGAGGAGGGAAGGGCAGGACGAGGGAAGATAAGGAAGGTGGGGGACGAGGGGGATGAGGGAAGGAGGGGGACGAACAGCAGAGGAGGATGAGGAGGGCAGGGGGGAAAGGAAGGAACGGGGGGTTTGGGGGAAGGGGGGGGTTGGGGTGGGTGTGTTCGAGTGGGTGCGACTGGGACGTGCTTGAGCTGCAGTGGAAAGAATAGGAAGGGAGGAGTGCCCATTCCTTCTCAGCCTTGCCTAATCCACAGCCCCAGAAGCAGCAGCAACAGCCTTATCCGCGACCCCTGCCCCTGCCACACGCTTCCCCTCTCCACACCCACCCCACTCAACCCCCACACTAAACCCCACACCCGCTCCAAATCCACCCCACCCCACTCTCCTGCAGCACTCGCTCAACACACTGAGTCGATTCACCAGACACAACCGCTTCCACCCCTCCCCGCCTCCCTCTCCTCCCTCTCCTCCCTCTCCTCGCACACCCTATTCAACCCCACATACACCCCACCCCACACACACGCACCTGCAGCACTCTCTCAACACACTGAGTCGATTCACCAGACACCACTGCTTCCGCCCCTCCCCGCCTCCCTCTCCTCCCGCCCCCCATGCCCACAGCCCCTGCAGCCCCCGCGGCAGCAGCAGCAGCCTTATCCGCCACCCCTGCCCCCGCCAGGTACTCCATAACGAGCTTGGTGGTCTCTGTCTTGCCGGCGCCGCTCTCCCCACTGATTAGAACCGACTGGCTGCGCCCCGCCTCCCTCATAGACCTGAGGGGTGAAAGGAACGGAGTGATTGAGGGGGGTGGAGGGGTAAGGGCAGGGCAGCAGGGTGGGTGGGAGCAGCGACCCCTGCCCTGGAAGCAGCAGCAGCAGCAGCCTTATCAGCGACCCCTGCCCCCGCCAGGTACTCCATGACGAGCTTGGTGGTCTCTGTCTTGCCGGCGCCACTCTCCCCACTGATTAGAACCGACTGGCTGCGCCCCGCCTCCCTCATCGACCTGTGTGAGGGTGTGCGGGTGTTTGTGGGAGTGTGGGGGCGAGTGCATGCGAGTGTGGATGTGAGGGAGTGAGTGCGTGTGAGTGTGGGTGGGGGAAAGGGAGGAGTGAGAGAAGAGGACGGGGTGAGGGCAGCAGGGTGGAATGGAGAGGAGGAGGCAGGGACCCGCCACCCCTGCCCCCGCCAGGTACTCCATAACGAGCTTGGTGGTCTCTGTCTTGCCGGCGCCGCTCTCCCCACTGATCAGCACCGACTGGCTGCGCCCCGCCTCCCTCATCGACCTGTGGGAGTGTGGGAGTGAGTGCATGTGAGTGTGGGTGGGGGAAAGGAAGGACGGAGTGAGGGAATGGGGGGTTAAGGGCAGCAGGGTGGGTGGGGGCAAGGGCCCGCGACCCGGGGGCAAGGGCCCGCGACCCCTGCCCCCGCCAGATACTCCATGACGAGCTTGGTGGTCTCTGTCTTGCCGGCGCCACTCTCCCCACTGATTAGAACCGACTGGCTGCGCCCCGCCTCCCTCATCGACCTGTGTGAGGGTGTGCGGGTGTTTGTGGGAGTGTGGGGGCGAGTGCATGCGAGTGTGGATGTGAGGGAGTGAGTGCGTGTGAGTGTGGGTGGGGGAAAGGGAGGAGTGAGAGAAGAGGACGGGGTGAGGGCAGCAGGGTGGAATGGAGAGGAGGAGGCAGGGACCCGCCACCCCTGCCCCCGCCAGGTACTCCATAACGAGCTTGGTGGTCTCTGTCTTGCCGGCGCCGCTCTCCCCACTGATCAGCACCGACTGGCTGCGCCCCGCCTCCCTCATCGACCTGTGGGAGTGTGGGAGTGAGTGCATGTGAGTGTGGGTGGGGGAAAGGAAGGACGGAGTGAGGGAATGGGGGGTTAAGGGCAGCAGGGTGGGTGGGGGCAAGGGCCCGCGACCCGGGGGCAAGGGCCCGCGACCCCTGCCCCCGCCAGATACTCCATGACGAGCTTGGTGGTCTCTGTCTTGCCGGCACCGCTCTCCCCACTGATTAAAACAGACTGGCTGCGCCCCGCCTCCCTCATAGACCTGCGTGAGGGTGTGCGGGTGTTTGTGGGAGTGTGGGGGCGAGTGCATGCGAGTGTGGGTGTGAGGGAGTGAGTGCGTGTGAGTGTGGGTGGGGGAAAGGGAGGAGTGAGAGAAGTGGACGGGGTGAGGGCAGCAGGGTGGAATGGAGAGGAGGAGGCAGGGACCCGCCACCCCTGCCCCTGCCAGATACTCCATAACGAGCTTGGTGGTCTCTGTCTTGCCGGCGCCGCTCTCCCCACTGATCAGCACCGACTGGCTTCGCCCTGCCTCCCTCATCGACCTGTAAGTGTGTGTGTGTGTAGGGGGGTGGGATTGAGGGAGTGTGAGTGCGGGGGTGTGGGACGAGGAAGGGAGGGAGGGGATGGGGCGGTAAAGAGCAGCATGGTGGGTGGGCTGGGGCCAGGGACCCATCACCCCTGCCCCCGCCCCGTAGCTTGGTGGTCTCGGTCTTGCCGGCGCCACTCTCCCCACTGATCAGCACCGACTGGCTGTGCCCCGCCTCCCGCATGGACCTGCGGGGGAAGGAGGATGTGGGAGTGCGAATGTGCATGGCAGTGAGATCGTGGAGTGAGGGCATGGCAGTGAGATCGTGGAGTGAGGGCATTGACCTGCGGGGGAGGGAGGGCGAGTGGGCTTGGCAGTGAGAAAGAGCGTGGAGTGTGGATGGTGAAAAGCATGGAGAGAGTGAGGGGATGGATTGTGGCTCTTTCCACTGATCAGCACCGACTGGCTGCGCCCTGCCTCCCTCATAGACCTGCGGGATAGGGATTGTGTGGGCGTGTGTGAGAGAGTGTGCATGTGTAAGCATACCTGTAAGCATACCGGTAAGCATACAGACACACATACCTGTAGGCATGGTCCGCAATGGCGAATACGTGTGGGCTGAGCTGTCCCAGTGGTACGTTCCGGTACTGGCTCTTAAGCTGTGGGTGGTAGAGGCCTGGCAGGTATATGAAGGGGTTGACTGCGATGAGAATGGTGCCTGTGTACGTCTGCAGGGGTTGGGAAAGGTTTGAGGGAATGGAAAGGATAGACAGAGGATTGAAGAGGAGACGGAAAGGGAATGGGATGAGATGGCCTTTGAGATGTGGGTGGTAGAGGCCTGGCAGGTATGTGAAGGGGTTGACTGCGACGAGGATGGTTCCTGTGTACTTTCGCAAGGAGGGATTGGGATAAGGAGGGAGGGAGTTGGGTTGGGGTACGGAAAGGGTAGACAGAGGATTGAAGAGGAGGGGGTTTTTTATATTTCTCAAAAAAACCCGGGAAATGATCCATGAGATGTACCCTACAGTGTTGTACCCAGCCCTGCCGTATGCTGTCACGCTTGTCAGCTCCGCACAGCCATCCAACACCGCCTCACTCGATAGAGTCACAAAACAAGCACCACTCACGTAGATGGCGTTGCGCACGTAGCGCCGCTTCAGGTTGTGCAGCACGCCGGGCTCGTGCAGGTGAGTGCAGGTGGTGCAGCTTTTGAGACACCACCACCACACACCAGCTTTTGCATGAGAACAGCAAGCACTACCACTCACATAAATCGCGTTGCGCACGTAGCGCCGCTTGAGGTTGTGCAGCACGCCGGGCTTGTGCAGGTGAGCGGTCCAGCTTCACCGTGTCATGCAGGTGTGTGGCCTGTGGGTGAGGCTCTGACAACAAAACACCATCACCATGAGAACAGCAAGCACTACCACTCACGTAAATCGCGTTGCGCACGTAGCGTCTTTTAAGATTGTGCAGCACGCCCGGCTCGTGCAGGTGGTCCAGCTTCACCATGTCGTCCTTGGGGTCCTTCTCCTCGTCCTCCTCCCTGGGGAAGCACTCCCGCGCGGGGATGAGCACCTGGAGTATGGGGTGCGAGTGAAGGAATGGGGAAGCGAAACCATTCACGCAGCTGGTGCTACCAGCCTCTGCCTCTCTCTGTCGTCCTTGGGGTCCTTCTCCTCGTCCTCCTCCCTGGGGAAGCACTCCCGCGCGGGGATGAGCACCTGCAGAGAGGCGTGGGAGTGGGAGGGCACTGGGATGTGAATACACTGGTACACTGGTGCTGGGACACTACCAGCCTTTCCATAGGGTCGTTCTCCTCGTCCTCCTCCCTGGGTCGACTTTTCCCAGGGTAATTTGCCCTCCTTGGGATCCACGAGAACCGCCTCAACGGTCTCCCCATTGTCCTGCACCACCGTGACTTCAGCTGCAGCGAACGCCGCCTTCTCATGCGCCACCCACATCTTGGACCCCAGTACAAGATTTCTGAGGGCTAGTTACCCACTACAAGATTTCTGAGGGTAATTTACCCACCTTGTCGTCCTCTTTGGGATCCACGAGAATCGCCTCGACAGTCTCCCCATTGTCCTGCACCGCCGTGACTTCAGCTGCAGCGAACGCCGCCTTCTCATGCGCCACCCATATCTTGGACCCCACCACGAAGCGCGCGGCCTCCGCTCCTGCTGACGTGTCCTCTGGTGCTGTCTCTTCCCCCTGGCCGGGAAAGAATTGCAAGAGGGAATTGATCAAAGTGGGGTAGCGGAGGGAGGGGATTCTTTTGAGTCGACTCAAAGTATCCTAGTCAGGTGTCCTCTGGTGCTGTGTATCTTCCCTCTGACCCGGTAAGAAATGCGAGAGGGAAGTAGGGAGGGTGGGAGAAAGGAAGGAGGAGGGGGGAAGAGGGGGGGGGGGGGGGGGGGGGAGGAGGGGGGGGGGGGGAGGGGGGGGGGGGGGGGGTGAGGGGGGGGAGAAGGGAAAGGGGGTGTGGGGAAGAGGATGAAAGAGACAGGAGGGGGAAATATTAAGAGATACGGGGAGGGGAAAGGGTGGGTGAACGGAGTGGGTGTATGCGTGCGAGAGAGGAGGAATGGGACGGTTGAGAGAGTAGAGTGTGACGGGGAGGAGAAGGGGATTGATTGGAAAAAAGGAACGTCAGCGAGTGTGAGAAACGGAAGAGAGGGACTTCGAAGGCTATATCTTCTCTGTCGCAGCGTTCCTTTATGGCGCGTATAAATCCTCCCAGCCACCTCAAGTCTACAGTTTCTATCCATTAAAGCTGGAATCAGATCAGGTGCGCAATGTACGTCTTGTGCATACAGCCATTAGAGCGGCGAGTCGACACGAATGTGCTCAGTTATCGAACCGTTTCTACTCATGTCTTCGATGGAAATACTGGAAAATGCTGGATTGGTGCGAAAAATGCCGGAATGAAATTTCAGCTGTTGACTTTTGAGAAACATTCCCATTCTAGGAGCGCCTCAAATCCGAATTCAGATATCAAAGGCACTGCTTGTAGCCTTCTGAGAGACTTTGCTATCGTAGATGCGGAGACACTTATAACGGAGGCAAATTATATCGTTCAGTCGCCTGATTTCCCTAGACAACCGACAGATCGCGACGAATCCTTAATCACGACCTCGTGAGCTCCATCTAGGTCAACCATTCCTGAAACGTGATTTTTCAGAATTCTAAAAAAAAACACGGAAATGGGGAAGAGCTTCTCTGGACTAGAATTGGCAATGCCTCGTCCTTCTGACATTCTCACCGATCACACCTTCAGCTTGCTCGTACCATTTTAAGTTTCCGCGATGATTTACGGCATCAAGTGGGAGAAATGAAAGCACGGCGCCGAAGTTGAGGTTCAGGAGAAGAAACTACCAGTCGAAACGACAGTAGAGAAACGCTTGTGGCAGCAGGCGAACACTAATACTGTAAGAACGTTACAGGAAGAAGGGATTTGAGGTACCGGGCAAAAGGATCAACCAGCTGGAGATACCAGCTCGGCGTCCCATACGCTGAGCACTTCACTTCCCTGATAAGAATGGTCAATTCACAGTAAATTGTGACTAGATGGGTAAGGATGTAGTATGCGTCCGTGAGTTGGCGGGAACAACCAAAGTAAGTTTGTACAGGGTCATCAAGTGTGGCGAGGGCCTGAGACGTGAGACGACTCCTGAGACTCGACACGAGACTCGTTTGGAGTCTCTAGCAGACAAATGAAATGCTGAGTCAGTTTCAGAAAAATGAATCGCTGAGTCGGTTTCAGAAAAGTGAATCGCTGAGTCAGTTTCTGAACGAGCACGCCCTTGAGTTACTGCTGAAAGCTGAACGAGTATCTCGAGGGGCTGGCGAGTTCAGCCAATCATTCAGCCCCCGAGAAGTCTGGAAGACCTCCTGTGATTGGCTGGATCATTAATTCGGACTCGCATATGCTCACCTCACGAAAATCGAGGCCTTCCAATCCAACTCTGGGGCTTGGAACAGTCGGCACAGGTTTGTGCGTGACCCGGTTTGGTTTGGATGTGTAGCTGTCGCTCACAGTTATTCAGATTGCTATGTATACCGAGCTATATAGTTTTGCTTTACAATAACTAGCATGCATGACTACTGAATAAACTGTGGACTACTGCATAGATAACTACTACCGTATCATTCGCAGTACTCCCCTGCACTTGCATGAAATGCATCTATTAATAGCCTCATGATGTTGTACCGGATGAAGAATTCTCCACGACTCATCATGGGTCATCATGCAAGCGACCAAACACGTCACCTTGGCCACCCACACTCATGCCCTTATGTACTGGGTATGTCTGGGCGACTCTTCCTTGGTAACTTCCCGTGCCTCGACGTACCGCATCCCGATGCTCTTTTGGATAAGTGTGTGACCGTATAGGGCTTGAAGGGGATCGTGATTCCAATGCCTGCTGTCGGGAGTCCAAGGGTGGGAGACAGTGACCATACGAGGGAATTCGTCGAATGCTTCTATTTGCAGCCAAGGAACTGTCCGTGTCCAATGGCGAGCCTCTAATTGAACGCTGATTGTCTGCCAGCTCAGCATGGCTGGAAACAGATTGCTGCAGCTCAGCGTTTGATCCGCGTCTCGAAGAAGAATGATCTCTTATGATGCTGCTGCTGCTGCTGCTCCTGGTGTTGCTTCTGCTGCGCCTGATACTGCTGCTTCGGCTCCGACCCAACAACCTCGCACCATCAATCCCCTCACCGACACTGCTCTCCACAGCTTCCAGGTCCGCTAGAGACGAGCTGAGCCTCAAACTGGTCAGAGAAGAATTCAGATCTGCCAGGGATTGGCTCTGACTCAACCTGGCCGGAGTTGAAATCAGATTCGTCAGAGAAAGGCTTGATCCCAGACGGGCCTGGGACGGGCTCGAAGTTAAACTGGTCCGAGAAGGGCTAGAACCCAAACTGGCCAAAGGTGAGCTCAGATTTGCCAAAGACAGGCTTGAGCGTAGCCTGCGCTGCAAGAAGCGGGGCTGCAATGACGGCGAACACTGGCTGAAGCTGCGTCTCGGGCTCTGATCATGGGTCATCCCACCATGGGTCATTCCCCCATGTGTGATCCCATCATGGTTCCTCCCACCATGGGTCATCCCACCATGGTTCCTCTCACTATGCATCCTCCCATCATGTGTTCTCCCGCGACGAAGCTTCCACTCCACGGGCTTGCTAGACCAGTGCTGGTCCACCGGGGCAGAGCGAGAAGCTTCGCTCAACCGTCTTCCCGTCCAGGAGCGAGAGCAGAATCCGCCTGGGCCGCCGTTTGTTGCTGTGTCACTCTCGTCAGGTGATTCTTCAGGTGATTCCTCAGGTGCTTCGGAGGAGACAGAGGAGCTGTCGGACCCTTTCGGCTCATGTGACGCACGTTCAATGCGAGTTCGAGCAGCACAGAAGCCAGTTAGTTCAGCTCGGTCAACCCAGTCAATTCGGCCAGCAGCCAAGCCAGCAGCACAAGCGCGCCTCCTCGCCTCCAACAAATCCGAAGTCGACCGGCGATGATTCAACCGCCGCCGACCAGCCAAAGCCAACCTGCCCACCTGCAGCGGAACCTTTGGCTTATTTGTCACCTCGTCAACTCTGCTGGAGTCCTCCCCGGTCGCCTCCCCTGCCTGTTCTGCTGCGGACCGCAGCATGTGGACAAACTGCTGGCATCGTACCGCGTTCAGCTCTCGCTGAGACTCCAGCAGGCTCAGCTTGCTTTGAAGGCAAAGCCGATTCAGATCTTCCGGTATCATCCCTTCGCCTCCTCCTCCCCATCCGCCTCTTCCGCCTCCTCCTTCTTTGCCGCTGCTGGTACTCGCACCAAAAGACCACCTCCTATTGACTCTTCTTTTCAGAAGCTGCGAAGGAGCCATAGACAAGGGAGGATTGCCAGCAGCAGTGGTGAGAAAACTCCGGCGACAGTGTGAAGCATCTGGATTTGGCGATTCGTTCTTGAGCGCTGCTGCTCGGGGCTTCGCAGCAGATGCTGCTGAATCGGAATCAGAATCAGCCTCTGAACCAGAGCTTGATTTCCAAGTAGCAGCAGCTGCTGTTTCCAGGAAGCTTGAAGCCGCGTCCCCAATCCAGTACGGCCACCTGTTCACAGAGTGAACCCCGCTTCCATTCCATGCAGGGAAACCATTCTCTGTTTCTGAAGTACCGAGTTCCGACCCTGAAAGTTCCGACCCTGAAAGGTCCGTCCCTGGAAGGTCGGAGATCGGAAGTCTCGACCTGGGAGAAGGAGTTGTTGAAATGTGAAAACCAGCTGCTTCCGACGCCATTCTTCCACTGGAGACCGCCGGGAACAAGTTAAAACTCGTTGATGATTGAGACAGTGCCTCGTGGCTTGCTGAAGCCGGGTAACGAGCTGTCGCCAGCATTTTTAAAAGCTTATTCTTGTATCAACACGAAACCGTCGCCAACTGAAACTGGAGTGATGAAAACGTAGACTGAGCGATTTGTCTTTGCAGATCACGAAGTCCGTGTGTCCAGACTCCTCTCGCGGCCGCGTTCTGTTTTTGCAGAAAATACTTTGCAGAAAAACCCTGCAGAATACTCTGCAGAAATAGTCTCGCTGCGGACTCTACTCTCAGTCAGTGGAGCAGTCGATCTCGTCAAACGATTGCTGCTGGCCTGATAACCAGGGTTCACCAAACCAGCATTAACATATTACACGTAAAGGCAGCAACATTTGCGGAGTGCCATCCCTCTGAAGCGCTGTACTAGTAGAACTATTGGGAATGCTGCTCTCACCAGCAACTCAAAGAAATCGCCAAAGAAGGCAAGTGGTTTCCTCAGCCAAAGAAGTCAGATGTCAAATGAGCCAGACGGCGCAGTGTGAAAAATAAGATTGAACATTCTTTCTCCACACAGGCGTGGAGAGAGGAGGAGAAAAAGGGTTTATGGCCCAATGCATGACCCTATGATAATAGACGAAGCTCCTTGACCACAAGAACTCAGGTAAGGCAAGGCGGCCGAAGCGCGGCGGACTTGCTTGGGATCTAGTATGGCGGATCGTATAACATTAGATACAATGTAAAAACTTGTCCCAATCCCTCGGACTTGACAGGCCAGTATACTGTTCAGGCCAGGGAGCCGGCGCTGCTACGGGCGCGAGCGCAAAACACGGTGGTACTGACATGGTTAGAGTTACTATTGAATCATCAATTCGGGCCCAGTTCTGTTGCCCAGCGGTAAATGGAGGGCGGACAGCACAGCACAGCACCACTGGTGCGGCCGGGTGCTTCCGCGAAGCCAAGAACCACCCACGTTGGTGCGATTCAGCTTCCTGCCACCCTCCGCGCAACTGGAAGAGCTTCGTAAATGTTTTGCTGTGCTGACCGCTAAAATGTTTTCCGCGACGATAATTGGTGGGTTTGGAGAAATACAGCCAACCAGTACAAAAAATAATTCTCGTCACCAATGGGACATTGCCCTCCCCCGTAACGTGTTTTTTTCGGGGCATTTATCCCTGCCCGGAACTACTTGTGCTGTCCCTGGGTCCGCGATTCGAGCGGGAACCAGTCTCGCACCAGTCTCGCACCCAGTTTGCCTGGGATGAGGGGACAGCACAGCACTACTGGTTCAGCGTTCTTTTGCGCTTGGTAGGCCGCACAGCACAGCCCAGCACAGCACTGGCCAGGTTCGGGAGAGAGTTCAAGGTCCCGAGCCTGATTCAAGGAATGCACCCTTGGAATGGAATCTTCGAGGATCACCGGTAGAGGCCCTCACGAAGCATCATCGAGTGCTGTGCGGAGGGGTCCGCACCAGTAGTGCGGCAACAGAACTGGGCCTCGACCGTTGAACATGGGGCGTTGATGAGAACGGACAACGGCGTCGTCTGTCATATTAAGAGCCATAAATTAGGGTGGTTTGT